TTAGTCATGCAAAATTTCTATAAATACGAGTAGTATTATTCATCGATCTGTTCTAGAAACTAACAAACTCTTAGTTAACTGGTTAGTTAAAGTTTCGTTCGTTCGTAAAATGCTCACCATTAGAATATTTTCGACTACTTAAATATCTAATTCTCTTCTTTTGTATCTATGTCTAAAGCTACGCGTTATTTTCGACATACCTAAATAGATAAAAACTAATTTTGAGACTGTAAAAACTTCTTACTTACGAGAGCTCGAGATACTAACTGTATGAAATAAATCCAAAGGTATAATTGCTAATGACACATGAAAAAAAAGTAGAAGTCCATATCTCGTTTATATCATTCTAAGTTAGTATCCGTCGCATGTCATAGCAAATAATATCATTTATCCAGTTTTTAACGATCTGATGGATTTCTCGCAAATCTGTCATTTGACTTAAATTTGTCGTTAAGAAATTCAGAAATATAGAGTCTCGTTCATATGTCTGATCCATCTGATTCGGTTGAAATTGGCATGTTTGCTATCCTCTCTGTAACCACGTCCAACCGCAGACAGCTCATTAGCAACTCATCAGTGCGGTATAGGTCTAGTAGTCTTGAAGACAAATGGACAGAAAGCAACAAGTAGGTTCGGACCTTTGAAAAATTCAATATATTGTGCAGAAGTAGGCGAAAGTCTGTCAATCCCCACCTACCAATGATTTGCAAAGCTGATCTTTATCCTCATCCCATACGATGAGTTGCTAATAAGCACGAAACAGCACCGTCTGCGGTTGGTCGTGGTTGCGGAGACGGAAAGCAAACATGTCCATTTCAACTGTATCTATTAATGCATGTAATGCAAAATAAGGCATTGCTGATCTGCTCTGTGAACATTTATTCACTCAAGGTCTGCATGAAGAAAGCCCAGAAGGTTGCTGAGAGGCTTTCGCGTTGCCTTCCATCGAAACAACGGCGGAAAATGCTCGGCAAAGATCCGTACAATATGAGGGTAGCGAATTTGTAAACAGAAAATGCTAGTGAAGCTACAGGTACAGGAGGAACCAATCACAGATGTACCTGTTCTCTTAACTCTTCAGCTTGGCAGCCCCCCCTTCACCCATAAGGTAGGCTTTATACAGGGTGTTCCTTAATGATATGCGAATATGTAGAGGTGTGAATCTAAATGAAAAATTAATGTTAATTTGCTTTGTAAACTATGGTCCAAAAATGTATCTTTACAAAAACTCGGGGTGTTGAAATTTTAGGAAAAAAATTGAAATTAATTAATATTTCCAGAACCGCTTCAGATATTTTACTGATATTTAGTACGTAGTGAAAGTTAATAAAGTTGCATATGTTTCAATGCAAAAATAATTTTTAGCTTTAGCAGTGGCGTGCGTGCGGATATTTTTTAAGAAAAAAATGGTACGCCAATGGTTTTTTTGCCAAATAAAAATTATTTTTGATTCCACGTTCAATTTAAAACAAATGATCTTTCTTGAGTTGCTTTCCTTCGATGCTCCATTTTTGAGTAAAAAAATAAAAACCGTTCTATTGTCTAACTTGTAAAATTATTATTAATTTAATTGGAAAAATTAAACACATTAGGGGTAATGAACAACAACAACTGACAAGATGAACCTAACATTAAAACCAACGAAATGATTACAAAAATTGTTGCATGCTTCCGGCCTCCTTCTCATGGAATTGCGCACTCGTTGAAACATCCCTGAAGGATTTTTTATTCTATCACAAGCTGCAACTATTCTTTCTCTTAATTCCTCTACCGTGTTAATGGGACTTGTGTAGACTAGTGTCCTAAGATAGCCCCACAAAAAGAAATCTAAACTGTTGAGGTCTGGGGACCTTGGTGGCCATTCTTGGGGCCCACCGCAGCCAATCCAACGATTTGGATAAACAGTTGGTAAATAATTACGAACCGCTACACTGAAATCCGTTGGTGCACCATCATGCATGTACCACATATTGTTTCTTATTACTAACGGAACATCATCAAGCAGCTAAGGCAACTGTTGTTGAAGAAAATTGAGGTAAGTCTGTCCGTCAAGTCGTCCCGGCAAGAATAATGGGCCTATAAAGTGGTTGCCAATAGCTCCTGCCCATACGTTAACCGAAAATTGGTGTTGGAAATGGGTTTTGGTTACGGCATAGGGATTTTCTTCTGCCCAGAAATGATTATTGTGGAAATTTTGAATGGCACTTCGAGAAAAATTAGCTTCGTCCGTGAACAGAATCATTGGTTCAAATTGGGCATTTTGAGTAATTTTTTGAAGATACCGCTGACAAAAGGCCACACGCCTTGGAAAATCAATGGAAAGTAATGCCTGTACTCTTAAAATATGATAACTCGATAACTTGGAAAGTGCCGCTCGTATTTTGATAGAATTTTCACAAAAAGCTACTACTGTGCCAAGGAGTTTGGGCAAAAAAAAAATTCTGCCACGGGTTCGCGGAAATACAAGCTAAGAATATTAGAGACATTGCATTCTAAAATAGTATCATTGGCTGGTAATGTTATTTCTTTGTTATACATGTGCCTAGTTCTTCTCCTAATACTTTTCTCCTAAGAAGCTTCAATTGGACCCACTGTTGTCTCAGCAGCTACTGCTACAACAGATTGCTTCATATGATATAAACAGAAATAGAAAATTATAGTAGTTTTATTTTTGCAATTTACTTTACGCCATTTTTTTATTATCGGCATCTGTTCTAGATGCATTTATATTTCACGACTTTATCACGTATCGCACGCAAATTACATCCAAAGGTACTAAGAATATGATACATTGTTATTACTCTGGTAATCGCCTGTCTGTGGAGTGCTTGAACCGGCATATATTTTGAATCATTTCTGAAAAACACTCGTTATCTGCAATACTTCCTCTTATAATTCTAAATGATATACAGTTACCTAACTTGCGATTGATATGATTTTTCCCGATAACGAACAATTTGATGATGTATCTTATCTGAATAGATGTTTGGCATATTCATACAGTACAGATAATATTCAGTTTGTGTCGACCGAGGGAAAACCTGTCCACGTAAGTATCTAGGTGTAATTAGATGTATTTCGCATTTGGATTTCAAGATGAGAATAAAATCGTAAAAACTATTTTTTATCTACTAATATGCATAATATGTTTTTCATGCTAGATGAAATACTCAAAAGATTACATCGATTACACGGTACTTCCCACAGCGGATTTTGACTTGCGGGACCCCAAAAAACTGAGCAGAATGAAAAATAAGCTTTCGTGTTTTGTCGTGCAATCTTTTTATCACGCCGAAGTCACAAGCTCACAAAAGATTTAAACAATGTGGCATGAAAAGTATAATAAATAAGTAGTAATAGGCAATTTCATTTAATTTTCCTATGATTACACTGTCCATTACATCGGCGTCCACAGGAATTTTTCTCAGGGGGGAATCATTCGCAACAGATAACTGTCTGTGAAAATATACCTGCCCCAAAAAACTTTTTGAAGATCAAATTTTCCTAATTTAATGAATTGTACACAAAGTTGTGCTAAATATCCAAATTTTATAGACCAACCGAATTCACACGGGAGCCGCATGTCCCCTCTGCCTCCGTTCGGGAGCCCATGGCCCATTAGTAGCAGATTTAATTAAATTAGGACTAGAATCCGGGCATTAAATCCTCAAAATTTAAATATCTTGCATGCACTTTTTCAATAGCAAGTCTAACTCTTTAATGGTGCTTCTGCACCTCATATCATGTTAAATTTTTAAATGATAAAGGCTTATGAATTTATTACTTTTTACAAGCTTTTATCATAGATCAGAAACAGTAAAAAATTATATTGCACGGTCTTATTTCAAACCTTCTGAGATTTATATTAGCAATATGACGAAGGTTCAACTTATCAATTATTGACATCCTTTTTTTATTATATCTCCTTTAATTATCTATACTATCACCTTTTTTCTGATTTATCATTACTTCAAACGGATCAGATAAGCATATTTAAAATAGCTCTCAAGCACATTGTACTATCAAATTTCTGAAAAGCGTTGCTATATGTTAGTAATTTCAGACTCTTAATATTTTATCTAAAGTTGCTGGCTCTAACTTTATTTTATTACTTAATACTCATTGAATAAGCTTATCAGTTCACCAAAGGTAATTTTTCAAAAACGTTTTATTATCAAAAAGTGCATTTTACCACTAACTTAAAAAACTTTAGACAGTACAATATCTGAGAAACAGTGAGAATGTATTCATCTAATTTGATAACTCGTCAAACTCACAATGGTATCTGATGTAACTTTTGTTTATAGGAACCACTTAGTAAATCTGCTGCATATTATATCGGTTCTGACAGTTAATCTATTGTTCTGCTTTTGACTGCTATATTTTATTTTGCCAAACATTTGCATGTATTTCGTTGTAATATTTGTTCCAGAATTTTTTTATTACCGCTTTCATCCCTTTAAATGGTTTGATGCTGTAGCGTTTTTCTGGGTTCCTTTGGGTGTGGATTAAAACACTGGATTCCACAAAAAGAAATGCACTAATTTATTTATCTTGACTAGATAGAACATTTATGTACACCGCTATTTATGACTGAACTATATTCCACTCCGCTCTACTCTGCTGTACTCCGCTTCTATCTCCCGGCCCTCGAACTATATAGTCCGCATCGCTAATTCGAGAAAAGTCTGGCGAGCCACAAAGCAACAGTCTAGATAGGCTCTTCGAGGTCACTTCGCGTCAATCTGGAAGGCCATTCACTGGCACCGCCCTCACAGATGTCGCCAAGTGGCTTGTGCGGTCGTGATCCACGTAAAAACCGACATCGACCATGAAGCTCTGGCGAGTAGGAGAGGCTCTCAACAGATTTCACCAACAGTACTATTTATTCTTGTCACAATACTTTGGTTTTGCTAGCAACCGATTAGTTTTCTGTTCTACATGCTTAGGTGGCTTGATTTCGTCTGATTTATTCATAATGATTTGTTTCTTTTTTACAGATAAACTATGGAGCACCATCTATTCGATCGAGACAGGGTAGGGCTACAAGATGCCGTGCTCCTTGAGGACTACACCAATGAAAATGCCTTTGTGGATAATTTGTCCAAGCGATTCAAAGAGAACGTTATATATGTAAGCTGATATCATTGCCACCGATTTGTTTATCAGCTATTGTTCTTACAAATATGTTGTTCCAAATGCTGTTTAATAAGATTCCTAGAAGACTCGATATTTATGATAACCTTACCAGTGGCGTTCCAATTAGATTTTAGGCAAATCAAATATCAACGTTGAACCTAATTAAGATATACATTTCACGCGCAAAGTCGGGGAAAGTATTTCCGTTGCATAAGTTGTAACATGTATAGATTGTAACGCCTTGAATAAATTGTTCATTTGTTAGTCTAACAAAAAGTAACAGGGGGAAATGGATGAAAAACATAAACTATTGTGGGTCTTTAGAATTTCTTCTGAGAAGTGTATATTTTTTCAGACTTACATAGGACCTGTATTAGTAAGCGTGAATCCGTACAAAGAACTGAACATCTATGGACCAAAAGATGTCAAAGAGTACAACAATAAAGCTTTCTTTGAAGTACCACCACATATGTAAGTTAGTAGATAAGTGAAACAATATAAACGCTAAATATACTGATTTCGGCTGTACGACACAGCTAGTCATCTCTGAACGCTCACTTGACCAAGCCTACTATTGCGGTATTGCGGGCTAAAACCTTCACATCTGCAACCACTGTTCGCAATGGTTGATTCTGGTAATAGATGGCGCTTTCCGCTGTCTTATAATATAAACGATTTAAAATCTGTCTTTTTCAGATTTGCTATTACAGATACGTCTTATCGGTCACTAAAAGAAGAAAACAGAGAACAATGTATATTAATTTCAGGTAAGTTATTGAAAAAGAGCGTACCCAGATCAGAGAAAGTCCATTAGATCAGACTAGTATGCGGAAACAATCAATCTCACATAAAACGCGCTATTGGTTGGCGTCTACGAGTATTAGCACCTCATATCGCAGAACACCTATTTTAATCTCTATACGTAAATAGCTATTTTGTTATCATTGGCAATTCCTTTCGACTTAGCTCTGTCGCCCTATATACCTGCAATCTATTTTCCAGGCGAGTCTGGTTCTGGCAAGACGGAAGCCTCAAAAAAAGTTCTGCAGTACATAGCTGAAGTCACAGATCACAAGGGTCAAGTAGAGAGAGTAAAGGATAAGTTGCTGTTTTCGAATCCTATCCTGGAGGCTTTTGGGAATGCAAAAACGGGCAAGAATGACAACTCCAGCAGATTCGGCAAATACATGGACATCCAGTTCAACTACCAAGGAAATCCTGTTGGTGGAAATATACTCAATTACTTGTTGGAAAAGTCTAGAGTAATCACTCAAATGCCTGGTGAAAGGAATTTCCATATATTCTATCAACTTTTGTCCGGTGCGTCACATGAAGAACTTGAAAGACTGATGTTGAAAAGGAATATCTCGACTTATTACTATTTGTCGCACGGGGTAAGGATTCATTATAAACTTACAGAGCGGTGACAGATTTTTCCCTCACCCTGGAAAAAAGACGTCAAGTTCAACACAACGCCATCATGAGTTATTCACGAAAGTTCCCGACAAGTTAAGCCTCTCAGAGCTGGCGATGTTGCTCCTTCCCATATTGTCAGACGCGTCAGTGCCCACCGAAGTGCGGACGCAGTGGCTGAAGGCGACGCGTATCGTAAACATTTTTCTATCATTCTAAGTTTTAAAGACAAATGTACAGGGAAACTCAGATTTATGAAATACGGCTAATAGGTACCTAAAATTACCGAGATTGGGAGCATATTATACAAACATCAAAAAATTAAGATATACCTTATCCCGTGCCTTACAGCCAACAACCTGCAACGTTTAACACTTACAATTATTTTTTTTCTGAAAATGATCAGGAGCCCCTGAAATGTCAAAAAAACCAAGCTTGAGTGGTGTTTATCCTTTTTTTAGTGTGTTTACCCCTAGCTCCGCCGCCACTGAACCGATTTTCAAAAAGTACAGCTTAGCGTAGTTGTGACCTTGTGTGAAAATTTCATCCAAATCGGAGCGGTACTTCCTCGCAGTGGCGTAGAACGCAAAAGGGATAGCACGGGTCACAAGATATCGAAGAGTGGATAGTAAATATACTAAGTGACATATAAATCCGAACACCCAGTTTAAATGGTTTTATTTTAATAAATGTTGGTGAATGTATTTATCTTACTGTAAATAACAAGTGAAAAAATTTTCAGCCTTATCAGTTGGACATTCCGGCTTTTATACTGCTTTTTTTTAATTCACTAACGCTCTAAAAATGAATATTTCAGCCGCAGTAAAGAATCAACGTTGGCGGATTTTGGTTCTTGACATCCTTTACGATCGGTTACGATGCCTAGAGTACGGAGACCTGTACGATTTCGTCAACTTAGTGAGTTTGATAGGGGCCGTATAGTGGGACTTCGGGAAGCTGGACTTTCTTTTCGGGCAATTGCAGTTAGAGTGCAAAGAAGTGTAGACACTGTGGTTAGGTGTTGTCAGGCTTGGCTTCGAGAAGGCCGTACGCAAACGCAATCATTTTGAAATGTTTATCATTTACTTATTATTCTTCATTAAGTACTTATACAAAATTTTATTAAAATAAAACCATTTATACTGGGTGTTCGGATTTATATGTCACTTAGTATATCTTACAGTGAAAGTCTCAATCGCAGTCAACTCTATAGATAACTAGCTAAAAATTCTTATGAACTTTTTTGGGCCACTCCAAGAATGATCAACATATCTGCCCAAAGTATCACGAATCAGTGCAAATGCTACCAAATCCTCTCTTGAAATTAACACTACCAGTCCTATCGAAGTTGAGCTTGCAGAAATTTGCATCCAGCATCGCAAACTGAGTGTTCGCGTTCCTCTCCATATTTTATCATTCAGCAAAGCCTTTGCGGAAGTTCCAATGTTTTAATTGCTACATTTTTGAAGTTCTCAACCATTGCATTCAATATATGATGAATATTTTTAAGTCCATAAGTGATCATTTTTCAGGAAAAGGTGAACATCGACAAAATCAACGACTCAAAAAATTTTTGTGATATGAAGAAGGCTTTAAATACGTTAGAATTTTCTGAAGATGAGCAAAATGAGATGTTTTCGATCATATCTGCCATTCTGCATTTAGGAAATATAGGATTTTCGGAAAATGAAGGCATGGCCCAAATTTTAAAACCAGATCTAGTCGAAACTGTTAGTAAGGTAGGTAGATTGTGAGCATTTTTAGGAATAAACTTTCGTATTCAGATCCTTCCTCAATTCTTTCATTTCCAGTTACTGAAATGTGACGTGCTACAGCTAAAAAAGGCTTTAACGCAGAAAACTATCGAAACCATAAGGGACGTAGTCACCTCACCCTTAAATAGAGAACTGTCAATCTACGCTAGGGATGCATTAGCCAAAGCCATCTACGATCGATTGTTCACATGGTTGGTCCAACGTGTCAATAGCTCATTGCAACCGACTCGGAGTAATAATAATGTTGTAATGGGCATTTTGGACATTTACGGGTTCGAGATATTGGATAAAAACAGGTAGGTGGAGTCGTAAGAGTCTTATTTTGTCATGGTAACGCTTGTTTAACCCTTACCAGATAGTATAGGCAGCAGCGGTGGCCGCAGTGGTAGACGCTTCGTCTCCTGATCAGTCGCCGTGCGCTGCGAGGGTTAGAATCCCGTCCCAAGAGAAAATTGTCTCTTGGCTATGGATATTGTGCTTGTCCGTAGGTGGTAGACGGTCTCTGACAGTCGAACGCGGAGGTAACAGCCGGCACGGGTATCACGTATGCTTAAAAGTGACATTATGCCGATTTTTTGACATTACGCTGGTTTTTTGACGTTATGTAGGTTTTTCTACAAGATGTTAACTTTTAGCACTCAGTTGTACGTGTTGCCTAAACGTCATGAGGCTTGTTATCAATCTTTGGCTCTGATGTGATGTAAAATCTGCTTCTGAGATGGCATTACTGGAGGTCTAAGCCGTAAGTTGTATGTGTTGATGATAACTAGATTGGGTTCTTGTCTCAAATACACTTAATTGAGATTCAAAGCTAGAAATTAGTTGCGCATCCACTTTTTCTTATCCATTCTGGAAATTACACAAATAATTTCCCGTAGTTCTCCTCAGTTTTTCGTAATTTATAACTTTGAACATAACCTTTCTTCAGAAAACACAACATAAAAGTAACCCGTCGGGCACAGCCAATAGATATACTTCATTGGCAGCATATTTATACACATGCAGACCAATACACATAATGATCCAGATGCGATCTTACTATTCAACCAACTTTCTTCTCGGAGATAAAAACTACAGACAAGAACCATTTGGCCTCACAAAACATATGCAACCAATAATGCGTTTGGTTTTGTTGAGTGATTCCTCCTTAGATGGACGTTCACAACGATCCTAGTGAGCAAACGTGGAATGACTGTTTGCGCCCTAAAAACTACCTCGTTTGCAAGATGACATCTTATAGGTTTTTTTTACGTTTTATAGGTTTTTTACATGATACCCATGCGGAATGTCAGCAGGCGTATCGATCCCCTTATTCAACAAGGAACCAACCGATAAAATGGTGAACACATTGATATAGCATCAATGGCGGTGTTTCCTGTTGCGTGCAATTTGAGTTTACCTTTTCTTGTTCTTCGATATGAAACGTAGCAATTTTTGAAGACACAAGGCCGTCGACAGTTTTCGCTAAATTTCAGCATTTTCAGAAAGTGAATTTAAACAATACATCCATTTCAGGAATTAGCTTGCGCTATATTCAAATACATGTGACGAGTTGTGTTGCCATCTGGTTTCAGTTGCAAGTTGCATTCGGTGAGAACGGTCCCTCGGACATTCGCAACAACAATATTTGTTGAACTTAAACATAATGCCGTACGGTGACATTTGCTGAATTCTGTTTCAGTTTTGAACAGCTATGCATAAACTACTGTAACGAAAAGCTACAACAGCTCTTCATTGACCTGACGCTAAAATCTGAACAAGAAGAATATATGAAGGAAGGTATACATTGGCAAAATATCGAGTACTTTGACAACAAACTTATCTGTGATCTAATTGAAGAGAAACATAAAGGTAATTCTAATGAGGAGATACAAAACTGCCTTATCATAGAACATATATTAATAGAGTCTAAAAATTATGAGAGAAGGGTAACACGTTATTTTACTTAAAAATGATTTTACTTAAAAATAGGAAATTGAAATAAAACGAATCAGCTTCAATGATGCCACTCCTGTTTATAAGATTTGAGGTTATGGTCAGTCAAAGTCAGTGACACCAACGAAGAAAAATAACATCTCTTCATGTCAGTGAAAACTTTGGTAATGATAGCGGGAGTGATGACCGTAACTATGGGTTCGTTTTTGCGAAAAAGATAAAGATGTATTATAGTTCAAAATACCATTTACGTCAAAATATTTGTTCTTATTTTTCAACCATCATGGAATCATTTAACACGAAAGCGAAAACAAAATTATCGCATATTCGCTATTGTCAGATGATTTCGTATAAATGTATTTTTGTTGTTCCTTTTTATATTAGATGTCCTCTATTTATTGTTTTAGGACTGATATCGTTCATGGATGAAGAGTGCTTGAGACCTGGTGATCCAAACGATATGACATTGCTTGAAAAGCTAAACGAAAGACTGAGCTATCATCCACACTTTATCAGCCATCAAAAAGCAGACACTAAGCTTCAAAAAGAAATGAAAAGAGATGTACGTATTTTTTAGAAATCAATAGACGGTCAAATGCTTAACATATTTCAAAAGTATTTTTGCCAAAGCACCCAAAGTATTTTAAATACATGAGTAGTGCCACTCGACGCAATAACGAATAGTCCCAATGAGAATCCATATTTTGTACCGTATGAAAACCAATAAATACGTTCAAGTATTTTGAAGTTCCTTCAAGGGTACGAAGTACCTCTCGGAGTACTTAAAGTACCTTTAGAAGTACATGAAGTTCTTGAAGATTTGGGAATACCTGTCAAGTTATTCAAAGTAAGAATGGAAATTCTGAGGTATAGGCGACTAAAGAATCACCTCTTGTTTTCAGCTAACTCATCTCCCCAGCATTTTGTTAACAATATTACATATTGTTTTAGGAGTTCAAAGTAATTCATTATGCCGGCGCTGTAACGTACAATATAAGAGGCTTTATGGAGAAGAACAATGACCTCTTGTTCAGAGATCTGAGGGAGGCTATGACAATTTCTAAAAACAGTATTATACATTCGGTATTCTTGGAGGCGGAACAAAGGAGTAAAAAGAGGCCTGAAACTGCCATAACGCAATTCAAGAATTCAGTAAATAATCTTATGAGCATTTTGCACACCAAGGAGCCAGCGTATATTAGGTGTATAAAGCCTAATGAGGATAAAAGAGCAGGCAAGTATCAAATCAATCCAAAAGTTACGAGGATGGTATAAAGGCTTTTTCCGTCTCGTATCAAAAAATCTTTAAACTTGACAGCCATCGACTGCACTAGAAAAAAAACTGTATGAAGAGCTTCAGACGTCAACTTAGTAAGGTAAAATAGCTGCAAATGAGATAAAATGCTTGTGGTCATTATTTTAGATCAGATTTTTGACGTACAGAAGATTTTGTGTAAACCTTTTTACTTCCCATGCTCACTAGCGGGAAAGTATTGTAATCGCGAAAATTTACCAAAATAAGGTATTGAATGTTATATGACATGTACATCAAGAAAAACCATGTCACTCATTCCCGTCTGTCGGTTTGTCCGCTACCTACTTGAGAAATATCGCTCGGATTTCGATAAAATTTTTACACAATATTACTGCTAGATCAACAACGCAAAAGCTTAGTAGTTTTTGAAAATCGGTCCAGTGGCGGCTAAAAAAGTCAAAAAAAAAAAATAAAAATCGATCAGATTTTTTTTTGTCATTTTAGACAATCCTATTCATTTTCGGAATAATTTTTCTAGTGGATAAACATTGACGCTGGTACACCCTTACGCCTCTAGCCCCAGTAATTCCACGCACATATTAGGCACATTTCACTCATCATAGATGTACTCGTACATTTATCCTTAAAACTTGGAAATATCTCCAACAGTTGCATTTCGATACGTACGAAGTCATCCACCGATGGATAAGCGTCGTCATCGGTGGTCGTACGCCACAGTCGACAACAGCTTCTACACTACTGTGGCCTGCATGCACTGTGGAGGAGGAAGATCATTTAACTTTTTTATAAATGCTCGTGGCTATATTTTTATATATATATATTGCCAAACATAATCCATTACGAACTGATGATAGCGTAGCGTGGGAAGTATAAAGTCAACTTACTTGATACCATTTTTCCATATGCTGCACGAGTTTTACACGTCTTTGTCTATTTTACAAACAATAATACCTGTGACACGCACCTGACATGTGCAATCTGTATTTTAGGTATTTTTGATAACGACTTGGTTAAACACCAAGTCAGATATCTTGGACTCATGGAAAATTTGAGAGTGAGAAGAGCAGGATTCGCGTACCGACGTACTTACGAAAGGTTCTTGCAAAGGTATAAATGTTTGTCGGAGCAAACCTGGCCGAACTACCCTGGAAATCCCAAGGATGGAGTTCAAATACTTGTACGGACACTTGGATATGACTCAGAAGAGTATCAAATGGGCAGGTAAGGAATTTATTTGATACAATCAATTTCTGCACTGAACATCGTAGCTTAGTGACATGTTACACGTATGCTGAAAACAAGGATAAAAACGCGTAGCACAGTGTGCGTTAGTCAAAGACATACGGACGCTCTAACCACAGCGTCGACAACGCTCTGTGTTGCCATGGAGACGATGCTTAGATAACAAATACGTTGTGGCTGAACATGATGGCATGGCATTAAGCTATGTAGTCAAAATCATGAAAGATGACTCTTACGTCATACCATAAATTGTACTGAATTAAGTAATCAACGATGGACGTCTATGATAAAATCACGATGTCGGGAACATAATAACAACAAACTTATATTATGATTTTGGGAAGTTAGGTTATTTCACAGATTATTTTTATATTCATTATATTTCATGGTTTTGAGTGATACCTTAATAATAATTTTAGTGGGGAGTTTTTGTTTTGAAAAAAAACTACAGTTATGAGTAGAATACCTCAAGACAGGAACACCAAAGACCAAAGTATTATTCGAAAACAATCTAGCGCCTGCTTTAACATAACCTAACTATTAATCTTTCAAATATGATCGATCATGCAACATGAAAACATCGTCTATCGTTGTCGGATACATGCAAAATTACCAATACAGTTTGTTTAGACAATAACATTTTTTTTCTCTGTCTAACATATCTGAAACTTCATTAAAAATATTCACAAATCGCTGTCGTTTGTCTTTATTACAGACTAAAATGATGACCATTTCGTCAGCGATTTGTGAATATTTTCAATGAAGCTTCAGATAATATGTTAGACAGAGAAAAAAAGAATTTTATTGTCTCATCTAAACAAACTGTATTGCTAATTTGCATGTATCCGACAAAGATAGACGATGTTTTCATGTTGCATATTGATCGTATTTGAAAGATGAATAGTTAGGTTATGTTAAAGCAGGCGCTAGATTGTTTTTGAATAATACTTTGGTCTTTGGTGTTCCTGTATTAAGGTATTCTACTCATAACTAGATGGCGGTAGTGTTGCTAAACTGAATCCAAATTCAAGATGAGATGTAAATAATAACAGTTAGCGGTCGGTAACAGGTGGGGACAACGCCTCTTATTGGTCAATTCGCCATTAAATTTCAAGCGGTCGCCTGGCGGAATAATGCGCGGGGCAGAGGCAGGGCAGGCAGAGTTGCACTCAGGCCACCGTCCGTAACGTGTATCTCTGCGTGCTCGTGTTTTCGTATTCACCTTGCTTGGTTGTTGCTCTTGTTGTTGTTCATTGTATTTGAGTAATTTGTTAAGTTTCTGTTAAATACTGTCATCTTTGTTTTACAACACGTTGGTGGTAGTCCATCATTCGGAGGTAGCCCTGAATGCGGCCCTGTACGCCGTCCTTGCTTTTGGCAATCACGCATCCATTCTATCTTGGGTGTAAATACACTATAGATTCGTCGCAGGGAATAATCGTACAAAATTATCGTATAGTTTGGCAAACGGATCTGCAACATCGGGGTATCGGTGAGGGAAAAGCAAAACATGGCTGGTTTCATTCATAAAATGCCAGCGGCGTGCGGTATTTTATAAAAGTTTGGGATTATTTCATAATTGGTTTAAATTTAGTAAACTATACGTTTATGTTTCACTTTAAATTTGGGGAGTATCTCAATAAGCCCACAATGATATGGAGCATTGTCCATAATAATAAATAAAGTCTCGGGTAAACTCAAAAATAGCTGCTCTCTACAATCTACACCATGTAAAAAAACACTTGAGTTTGTTTCTACACTTCAACAAACGGAAAAATGTCTACTCACTTCCCAAAATTGCCACAATTCAAAAAATCATGATAACTGCGCGATTTAAAACCTAAATCAAGCTAGCGTTTTTGTCAAAGCCGTAAATAAAATATATTTTTCAAATACAAATAGATACTTAACGTGGTTTTTTACCTTGTGAATATATATCTATATATATATATATCTATATATATATATATATATATATATCTATATATATATATATATATATATTATACATCCGTGATCTTATAATATGGTCATTTACTTTAAAAAGTGCCACAAGCCGAAACATGACCAGAATTAATTTTTATTTTATAATCCGCATCTTTCTGGATTCCTATTGTTGCAATTTTGGACTGTTGATGTGGATATTTCTAGAGCATCGGTGTCGCTTAAGTAGAAACAAAGAACTTTAAACATATTTCATATCCGTTTAACTTATAATCTCTGTAATAAATAATACTTACATTATACAGCATTTCAAAATTACATTTCACCTATTGAATTAGCATTGGTGTTCGTCAACTTCATCATTATCATCATCGTCACTGTCGTCATCAGTTTCGCTGTCGTCATCTTGCCCTATAGTTATTATAACTGGTTCCATTTCCTCCATAAATTGATCATTTTCCCAAAATTTATCTTCAATGTCCCTAGCATGTTGACAAAATTTCTGCCAATCATTAATGGATATTAAGGACATCGCTTCCTGAGTAACTTCTTTCAGTGCGGTTAAACTGAAGTTTCCAGTGGTATTGCGGCTTCTTTTATGAAATTTAAGCTTTGCCCAAGCTAATTCTATTGGGTTTAGCTCGCATAAATAAGGAGGTCTTCTTAGAGGAGTATGTCCATGTGATCTTATGATCCGATCAACTACATAATTTTTTTGGTTGTCAGGGGGCTTATGAAGTAAGACCAGATCGAACAAGTCAAATTTTCTGACAGTTGCCTCATGATTTATGCCTATAAAATATTTTATTGTATAGTTTGATATGTACATGCATGTTTTGAGTCATAAGTACCTTTCCTTGTCAACCAGGCCATTATATCTTTTTTCGAAGATGATTTTGTCGGAGTTTTATCTTCCTGGACGGAATGATATGGAGCATTGTCAAATACTATAACCGAATTGGCAGGTATATTCGGGAGGAGTTTTTCTGTGAGCCAGCGTGTGAAATTTTCCCGATTCATCTGACCGTGGTAATCGCCTGTAGCTAATCCCGCCTTAAATATCAAACAGGCATTGTCAACAAATCCATTTTCTGAACCTGCATGCACTATAATGAGTCGACCTAAAATATACAAGACGATTATATAATATGTTACAAATCAGAGTTAAATTTAACATATATATAGCATTTTTGCTTACCTGTAGAACCTATACTGCTTATTACACCAGAAACAGTTTCGCTCTGCCAGCATTTTTTGAAAGTCAAGTCATTGTCCACCCAGGTTTCGTCCAAATAAACAATATTGCGCCCTTCTTCACGATATCTACGTATTTCACGGACGTATTTGTACCTCCATTGCAATATATTAGGCCTCTCCATCAAAACTTTTCTTTTATTTTGACATTTGCGCCAAAAAAAAAATTTGATTTTAATAAACTCCTGAGTGCTTCCCTAGAATAGGGGAAATTTGAGTCTTCTCGCAACTTTTGTAATAACTCCCTAGTTGTCGGGATAACTTTATATTCAATATAAAATCTGTTTATCAAATGTCTAATAATCTGAAAATCAAAATCTTCATCTTTCTCAACAAGAGACTGACGCGGTCTTTTTTTTTCCGGGACTGGATAACATTTTATTCGGGTTATTTTCTAGTCTTTCTTTATCTTCGTTATGAATTTTCCTAACAGAAGATACTCCGACTCCGGTATAAAGGGACACCCTATCAAGCTTACGTTTAAGCGGAAACTTGAGGGAATTGTTTGCCGCTTCCTCATCGCAAACCCTATAAATAATCATCAGAATGTAAGCTTAGCATTTCCTTGTTTTTTATTTATATATATATCAGTCGTCAAAAACTACAATTATTGCATATTATTATTACTAACCTATAAACATTCGCAATCACTTCTCTTGTTTGGCTATGAAGCGTCTTTCCGCGAGTAAATTATTTCATTTTAAAAAAATAATACTAAAACGAATAACAATAACAAATAACAAAACACTAAACTATTCAAAAACACACAGCACTAAACATACAAACTTAGTAGAACAATAAATGTAACACTCATACACGACAATGAACGGAGATAAAACCTACGCCACTGGACTTTTCAATAGTATGGATATTCTAAGAAGGGAGCAAAAAATTGTCTGGGACGCTACCCAATAGGGAGTCGAATTTTCTCTTGGCGACAAAACATGTGAGGATATCCGCCAATCAGATTCGTTTAGGCGGTGTCCAATATACCTTTCGGGTGGTTGTTGCCAGCTCAACCGATGTCGATAAAATCTTTGGAAAAAATGTTTACTTATAATACGATTCAGTAGTAAAAAATAGTTATTAAATACAAATAGAGCTAACAACCCATTAAAATACTCAGTATTTTGAATTATTATTTTTTGGAATTGTGAAAAATCGATTTTCAAATCATTGAAATTACTTTTATTATTATTATTGCTTTTTTGTAGTTAAATTTGGCAATATCGAATATTTTCGGTCGCATTCCTTTCGCTGTTGCAGATCCGTTTGCCAAACTTTACATTATCCTACACCGTGCCTTAGGTTCTCTGATGATGAAGGAAAATTTCTGTCTCGGGGGAGGCTCTTTTGTTTCCCACTCTTTCCTGTAAGCTGTGCTTTCTTCAAAGTTACCACTCCTTTTTTGTTTTCTGTATTCGAGAGTATCGCATTTTTTGTTGTGCTTCTCTCTTCCAGAGCAACTTGATTCGGAATCCGACATATTATCGTTGTTGAATTGAAGCCGATTAAATATCGAAAATAACTGAAAACGATCTTTTGATTTTTAAGTTTCAAAAGTCATAAAAACGGGATACGTCGCATTCATTTTATTTAAGGCACATGGTTAAATAAAAATATGCGCGTCATGTCAATACATAGAACGTGAGAACTGATTGTCGGCAATTTTTCCCGTTGATGTTTGCCGAGATAGTCCGCGTAATGCTAGGCAACCCATTATACAGAGTGGGGTACGCGCGCTTGTCTACCAAGCGGCAACACTGACAGCTGCTTGCTGGTATTAATTGAACGTAGTTGTTAGATTGATTCAACATCTGTGAGTAAAAAAGGTCATTCGCAAAATTATCGTACATTCAGCTATTATCCTACACATAGTATCGTACATCGTACAATACTTGAAATTATCGTACAGAAACGATAATTATCGTACATCTGGCAACGCTGGATGGTGGTCGACTCCTCTTGAAGCGTGTCGAATGTTCGCGATAGCGCTCCATATACGGTCGCGTAATTCTGGCTGCCTAAGCCTCGATGTTTTCCGAAACATGGCGAATCCTCTAGATTCTAGTCGATGTACGAGGGTGTCACACCTGTACCCAAAGCGCTAGCTTCGAGGGCGTTACAGTAAAATTGGTACTACATCCATCGCATGGACTCAATAGGATGTTTATTTAGCTTCAATTTGCTTTTATCGGAACCTCGATACGACAGTTTCGCCGTGGGATATCGAATATTCAATTAAAACGGACCGTTTTGGCTTTGGCTTTAATCATCTCAGGAACGAAACATCATACAGAAAATATATGGACAACCCTGTAAAATTTCACTTTGATCCACCCAGACGTTTCTCTTGGTTTGAGTAATCAAAGTTCAATAAAAAAGTTTGAAGGATCACGTTTATCGCTACTGAAAACTATAAAATGGAAAACTTTTTTTTGTACTTTTTGCACATTTTTCTTACAAAATTATGTCTATTCTTCAGGACCAAGATCTTCATACGACATCCCAAGACGCTGTTCCGCACCGAAGACGTCTTCCAAATGAAGAAACACGAAATAGCAGCCAAAATCCAATCTGCATGGAAAGGGCTGGTGCAAAGGAGAAAGTACCTGCAGATGAAAGCAGCCGCTATCATGATGCAAAAGTATATGCGTGGGTACTTGGCTAAGAGAGAAGCGGAAAGGCGAAAGAGGGCTGTACATACCATTAGAAGGTGGTTGTTTTTTTCACTTATTTTTCCACAATACTTCAAACAGCAAAAAAAAGATGTATTGATGAAACAAAAATATTTTTAATGGACAGTTTGCCCCGCTATACATGCACGACCTCTGGAATTCACATGGCACAGAAAAATGTGACAAACTTCTTCTACAAATTTCTTAAAATGCTCACCAACGAATATACAGACGTTTACAAAAGGACGCGATTGAAAATGTTTTGTAAATCAATTTTTTGCAACATATTCACCGAATAGGATCTCAATTGATGGTACTTTTAGAAATCAATTAACTCATTCTAGTCTAATTATATTAACACATTTCCCCGAAATAATTGTAAAGTCTGGTTTTATTGATGCGAGTTATTCAAGGGGCTATTTAAAACATGAACGCATAAAATGGGTACACCAATTTGTTTTTTGGAATTCAATCGAAAGTGTTTTCAGCAACCAAAAAACTCCTCAAATAAGATTTTTAGGTATTTATGAGACCTATAGAATAAGACCGCACGTAAAAAGATCTGATCAATATTAAAAAGTTATGACCGAAAACCGTGGCAAAATGCAGGTTATGGCTCTTGTTGCTAATGTAAATAAAAATAACAACAGCAAAATTGTAGTAACATACAGGGTTATCCAAATTAAGTGTCCACCATTAGTAACTTTGTTATTAGTGAACATACAAAGTTGTTTGAATTAGCAAACTAGTAGCATTTTTAACGCTGGTAAAAATGAGAAATAAAAAAAAACAATTGAGAGTCGTTATTTTGATTTTTTTCAGTAAAATAACATTTTTTTAAATGGAAACCCCTGTATATTATATTTTTTTTCTGTTAAAGCATCAAATTTTAAACAAAAAAGCTTACAATAACTTTTCTCCTAGGTTACAAATTGTTGAAGTTATGGCCTCCAATCTGAAACAATTAAATTGTATCGACAAACTTTATTTTCAACATCAACTTATAATCTTACAAAATACAATAACAATTTTTTTTAAAGAAAATGCTCGAAAACACCACCTTGTTCTTCAATACATTTTTGGGCACGTTTTTCAACTGCTCGAACTGTCTTAAGTATGGTCCTACCACCTATCTGGGTTATCTTTTCCCTAACTGCAGTCTTTAACGCGTCAAGGTTATCGTACCTTCGCTTGTAAATTTGGTTCTTTAAGTAACCCCACAAGAAGTAATCAAGTGGGTTTAGATCTGGTGATCTGGGAGGCCACTGTATTGGGCCATTTGTTCCTATCCACTGATCATTAAAAGTAGTACTTAGAAAATGATAAGTACCTCTGGAGTTGTGGGCAGGTGCGCCATCTTGCTGAAAATGCAGATGATGTCTACTTATAAGATCCAATTCGTCTAAGAAATTAGTCAGAATTTCTGACATAAATTCCACATATCTTTCACCAGTTAGGGTTCCCTCATAAAAGAACGGGCCAACAATTTTTGAACCAATTATACCGCACCAAACGTTGAAACTGAAACGGACTTGTGGGCCTCTTGGATGTACTAACAAAAGATTTTCTCTTGACCAATAATGGTGGTTTTTTCTATTAAACATTCCAGAATTTGAAAAATTTGATTCATCTGTCCATAAAAGGTAACGAAAGTTATTTACATTTTGGCGACAGAAGCTAAGATACCAATGGCAAAAAACAAGTCTTCTCTCTGGATCCCCTGCCAAAAGCGTTTGAACTGGTCGGTACTTATACGGAATAAATTTGTATTTTTTTAAAATCCTTTGAACAGTACCATAACTGAAATTAGAGTCCTTGAGAATATCTGCTATTGAATTCTCACGATAAGCTTCAAAATATCCAATAACTGCAATTTCCGTGGCCTCGCTTATTATGAATTCTTTTTTTGCCCTTGTTTTAGCAAAAACATTTTCGTTGCCCCTAAATTTTCGATAAAGTCTCAGAAAATATCGTTCATACGGTTGAATGCGAGCGGGATATAATTCACTGTAGTATTCTCTTGCTCTCAAGGAGGATTTTCTGCACACTAAATAGCATTCTAACATATCACACTTTTCTTCATGGGAGAACATTTTTCTTTAAATTAATGACACAATAAAGCTTATAAACAAGTATTTACACTAATGTTTGACATTATTTGATTTTATCATTGTTTTCCAAAGCCTTCTAGTTGCGAGTATGTCCAGTTTAACAATTTGTCGCTTATCTTAATGCTGTCAAATCGCGAACGCCATGTTGTTTTCATAGCCGTCTTAATATTATAATACTGCAAATAATTAAAAATATTTATCGTTATTTTGACTTTATTTTTGACTTTAGCGGAAAAGTCATTATGAACTTTTTTGTTTAAAATTTGATGCTTTAACAGAAAAAAATATAATATACAGGGGTTTCCATTTAAAAAAATGTTATTTTACTGAACAAAATCAAAATAACGACTCTCAATTGTTTTTTTTTATTTCTCATTTTTACCAGCGTTAAAAATGCTACTAGTTTGCTAATTCAAACAACTTTGTATTTTCACTAATAACAAAGTTACTAATGGTGGACACTTAATTTGGATAACCCTGTATATTGGTCAAATAGTTTTTTGAGAATTTCAAATTGCTTATCCCATTTTCCGGCCATCACTACTAGTCTACTGAGCAATATACAGGGTTCGTTCAAAGGGCATTTTATAGTGAAATACACGAGTTTACCTTGCCGACATGAATCACAAACCATTCCGAAAGATCATTGTTATTTGTATGCGAAAAACGAAAGGGGTGAACAATTAGAAATTCTCAAAAACTACTTGACCAATCGAGACCAATCGAATCCAATTTTGTTGTCGTTATTTAGAAGTATGAGGACTACGAATTTGTAGAATTTCAAGTATCTGCGTAAAACTATCGTCCCATTACCAATAAGTGCGAAAACCTGCATCTTGCCTCGGTTTTCGGCCATAACTTTTTTACTATTAGTCGGACCTTTTCACGGGTGATACCATTCTGTGGGTCTCATAAATACCTAAAATTCTTAGTTGAAGCGTTTTTCTGTTCCTGCCAACACTTTCGATTGAATCACAAAAAACACGTTTTCCCATTCTTTTTCGAATGAAAAGTTTTCCGACAAAAATTGGTGTACCCGTTTTATGCGTCCATGATTTAAATACCCCCTTGAACAACTTGCATCAATAAAACCAGACTTTACAATTATTTCGCAAGCCAGGGGTATTTTCGTCTAATATGATTAGACTCACTTCACCAGGGACAGATCAGTCCTAAACACAATTGCTGTTTTTTGCACCACGTGGAATGATTCCGGATGTTCAATATCACCATCGCTAAAAACCAAGCGCGATGAGCGTAACGCATATCAAAAATATCTAGTAGATATCCAAAGTAGCTTATCTCAGGATCCGAACAAATTCCGGTCATTTATCTGTAATAAAAGGGGACAAAATTCCACAATCAGTCAAGTAAACTATAATGGTAAGCATTATAACAAACCCAATGAAATTGCTAATGCTTTTGCGATATTTTTCAATCTGTATATACTATGCCCTCGAACGCAACAGATATCAATATCTCGGACTTCCATACTAACATAGTACTTCAGTGCTTTGCCGAAGAAGTTTTTAAAGTGTTAAAGCTAATTAAATATAAATTTACCTCCTGACCCGATGGAATCCCATTATTTTTAGTGCGTGACTATGATTACGTCTTAGCTCATCCCTTGACAAATATCTTCAACCTAAGTTTAAAGACTATCACGTTTCCTGAAATTTGGTGTGAATCAAAGGTGCGTCCCATTTTCCAGAAGGGTGATAGACTACAGGTTGAAAATTATAGACCGATAACCCCAGTATGTATCTTTTCCAAGGCCTTAGAAACTTTTCTTAATAATTTCCTATACCACAATATACATTCCCAAATAAGTACTTCTCAGCATGGCTTTATGAAGGGTAGATCAACCATAACTAACCTAGCCTGTTTTACTCAGTCAGTCTCCTCTGCATTAGATGCTAATAGTCAAGTGGATGTAATTTATACAGATTTTAGTAAAGCATTTGACAAACTTGATCGCAGTATTCTATTAACGAAGCTGAGCTATTTTGGATTCTCCCCCAAGGTGTTATCCTTTCTTAAGTCATATCTACCAGGAAGAAAGCAATATGTTGAATATGAGGGAATCAAATCCATTGAATTCTTCCCACCTCAGGGGTACCTCAAGGCTCCTGCTTAGGTCCTTTGCTTTTCATACTGTTCATAAACGATACTGTTAGCGACATCGTCAGCAGCCACTTAGTCTATGCTGATGACCTGAAATTTTTTTCCAATGTCGACTGCAGCTCTGACTGATGTGCTCGCTTACAAAAAGACCTCGCCAAAATAGTTAAATGGTGTGCTGTAAATCGACTTCCAATCAACTACAGTAAATATAGAGTTATGTCTTACACCAAAAAGCTAGATATTACAGCATTTGACTACAAAATTGGCAATCATTCTCTGCTGAGAGTAAAAGAATGCAAGGGCCTGGTTGTGATTTTTGACATGTCACTTAGCTTCAATCCTCATATTGAGTACCTTATTAATGCTGTCAATAGATTATTAGGATTTGTAATACGTAACTCAAAGGAATTAAATAACAAAGATGCGATGATTATGCTTTATAATTCATTCATACTGTCTAAATTAGAATATGGACGGCTAATATAGAATCCATGCTAGGTTACAACTTGTGACTCTCTGGAGAAGATTCAATGGAAATTTCTGAAATTTCTTTCATTCAAAATTGGCGGTACGTACCCACCTATTGGGGGCGCACAGGAAGCCCTGTTACGTAAGCACAAGTTTACCAGTCTTGATAACAGAAGAAAGATTCTCTCGCTAATATTCCTGCATAAAGTAGTGCATAGCAGTTACGATTGCCCATCATTTCTAGCACAGATTAAATTTAATGCTCCAAAATTTGTTACTCGCAATACACTCACTTTTTACCTGCCTACCCCACGAACTAACTTACTGTTGCACTCACCTTTGTACCACTATGTGTTAATGTTATAATAGTCTACAGAGTACATTTGATTTGTTGAATACAATTATTTCGAATATTAAGAGAGTTTGCAGTGAAATGATTTAGTTTTTAGTTTTCGTTGTATTTTTATGTTTTTTTACTATTTCTATTGTTGTTTTGCCACCAGTAATTGTTTAACACTGTTGGTGGTGGATTTCAATAAATAAATAAATAAATAAAAAACAATAATACTGAAATGATTCAGTTTCTCCTCAAAAATAGTACAATTTTATTAGCCGTGATTAGAGAGATTGTCCCTTTGTTTAGAGTTACGCTGTATACACCCAAAGCCAAAGTGATATGAAACTTGATGAATGATTGATAAATTATGTTTCAGATTTGTGAAAGGTTTTATTACGAGAAACGGTGAGCCAACAGACGAAAACAAAGCATTCCTCACTGCGGCAAAGGTACAATGGCTGAGAAGATTGTCTAAAGGTCTTCCAAAAGATATCCTTCATAGAAAACCGTGGCCCCCTTGCCCGTACGTATGTAGTGAAGCATCTGCGCACATTGAACAGCTATATGGGGCCCATTTGTCTAGAGTATACCGTTTCAACTTGACGCCTGAGAAAAAACGGCAAATGGAGTTGAAAGTGCTCGCAGAAAAGTTATTCAGAGGTGTGTTGCGTTAAAAAGATGCAATGATCATAAACAATCCTGACTTCATTTTCCAATTTTTTAAGCAAAATTCTGCTATAAACTTACAGGTAAAAAGAAGAACTACAGGGATAGTATTCCTAACCTTTTTGAATTCGATCGAATTCCGGAAACCACGCTGGCGTTGAAACAAAGCTATTCGTCACAGCTGAATGGTGATAAAGAAGCAGTAAGTACTTAAACAACATATTACATATTTTAATTGCACAGGCGTCTCATACCGTAATTAATAATATTCTCTAAATGGAACACATTCTTCGTTTATTTTTCTCTACTTTCCCTTTAATTTCACAGCCTGAGCAAAACATTCTTCTACTACATTTTCAGATAAATTTGCTCTTTAGTAGAATCTTTGTGGTAGAAAGTTGGCTAAAATTTCCATGCCTTAGATATCCCTATGTTTTAGTTATCTGAAGTACTGGATTGAACTATTGAACTCAAATTCCACTTTTTTATTTTAGTATTCAACAAATGTGATTAAGTACGATAGACACGGATATAAACCAAGAGAAAGAACGATAATAATAAGTAAACAGAATTTGCACGTCCTTGATTGCAAAGGATCTGTAAAATTGAAGCACTGTCTACCATTAAAATCGCTGCGGTTCATAGTGACCACCGAGAATGACAATATACTCTTAGTACAAATACCTGAGGATTTAATGAATAAGGACAAGGTAGGTTTACTAAAATAATGTACAAATTCAAACTTAATTGAAAATGTTATTATAGAGGAAGGACGCCTATTATCGGGTACCTTTTTAAAAATGTTCAGTAAAACTTTTCTATTCATTCCCAAAAGTTAATTGGTTGACATATTTATTGCTTATTGTTCCTAATTTTGTTTTACAAGAGATAATTAAAATTAAGTAAACACAGTTGATGTTATTCAGAAAATTCGTAAATGGTGTCATTTCCTTAAATTAAAAAAAGGTTGCCTAATATCGGGTAGTGTCGATTCCAAATATCGGGTGCCCGATATTAGGCTACAACTTCTTTAAAAAATGAAAAGTAGCAATATTAGCTATCTAAGATATTTTATTTTACAGTAAGACACAGGAGAATACAAAAAATAAAATAACTATTTCTCAATAACCAGAGAATAAAGTTCAAAAGAAACAAGTATTTATCCATCTAAACATAATTCACAAATAAATGATTTCTCCTTGCCTATATCTGAGCAATCTTCGTGACACCAACGCAGACACTTCATGCATTGGACCCACTTGGATAGAGAAATATCTTCAGAGAACCAGTTGGAACAATAAAAGCATTCCACATCGACATCATCTTGGTCCATGTCGTCATCCGTGTCTACCAATTGAATTTCATCACTATCAGAACTGCTAGATGAGCTTATCTTCCTCTGTCTTCCATTTTTTCCTTTTGGGATCGATTTTTTTTGTTAACTTTTTCCTTCTCGTTTTTTAGTTTTGATTTATTTTGATTCAGGCTAACTTTTTTCGGTGTCATCTTTTTTCTTTTTTTCAAGCTCTCTTCTAAATCTGTCTTATAAGGCGTAGAAGTGAGGATAGCTGTTGAACCACGTTTACCTCCTTTTTTAGAAGCTTCACCCGAACAACCTGACCTTGGAGACTGATGTTTTGTCTTTAGGCTAGGTATAGGACAAATATCCTGAGGTACAACGAGCTTAGGTGTCGAAATGGGTGGTGTAGTTTCTCTTTCTTTTCTTAAGTTTTCAGCAACAGCAGGATCCACAGCAGTCTGATTTTCGTGATTATCTCCTTCGACTGATTGTCTTTCATTTGAAGAATGGATGACAAATTCGTCATCTCGGAAAATTGTCGGTTGGAATGGAAATATTCCACATTTTCTAAAACCATTCACTGCAATTTCACAACTCGCTGCTCTTAAATAGGCTCTTCCCATTAGTTCTGATATCTGATAGGAAGTTACAACTCTCCCTGGATTTGCTCTAAGCCATGTTTCAATTTCAGCAGCATAATAAGTTTTGAAAGGTGACATAAAGGAGACATCGAGTGGTTGTAACTTATTTGTAGAATGGGGAGGTAGGCAGATAATATGGACGAAATTATCTCTGGCAATGTTGATAACATCAATATTCCTTGAATGAGAATAGTGTCCATCTAATATCAAGACAACTTGTTCGGATTCGCTAGGTTTTACATCTAAAATAAAGTGCCTCAGCCAGTCTGTAAAAATGTCTTGCTGAATCCATCCCGATGGATGACATCTGGCAACGGACCCAGGGGGAGCTCCATTTAGAAGCTCAGGCTTCATATTTTTGCAGGGAAACACCAATATTGGTGGTATGTAGGTATGTAACGACCGACAGCGTTCATACACGTTACAATAGTTACTAAAGCACCCCGTTCCGAAGCAGTTAAAGCTGCAACTTGCCTTTTTCCTTTCAAACTTATCACTTTGGCATGTTTGCGTCTGTCGTAATACCAGTCTCATCAACATTATAGATTGCTGCTGGATTAAAGCCAACTTTTGGCAAAACGCTACCAAGGAGGTTGAAAAATGCTTGAACATTCTCTTTTGTAAAACCCTTAACACGAGCTGCAGAAATTCCCTGTGGTTTTCGGAAAGACAATTTTGGGTGTCTTCACATGAACGATTTCAACCATTTTTTTCCAGCAGCGGCACTTCGGCAAGAAAAAGGATGCTTAACCCGCCATCGGTCGAGCTGTTAGAAAAAATCTAACAAATTTAATTTCACTATACACTTTTTTTCCAATTTTTGCACAATTTGCCTCTGGTTCCGAGAATGCCTCCTACTGGACGTAAAGCATCGGCCACCCGAGTATCGTTTGGTGGGGGTAAACGATATTCCTTATAATCTGAATTGTTAGTATTAATCTAACACGCGACCGAACCCGTTGTTTCGTTTTAGCTCCGCTGTTAGAAAAAATCTATCGACGCGACTGATAGCGTTAGTGAAATTTTGTGTAATATCTCGGTAAGTTGTTTTTATATAATATCTAAAACTAAGTTAGTTCTTTTATAAAGTTAAAAATATGGTTTTAGGAACCCTCAATTTTCAGTTTTGTGGCAATTTTAGCATTGTAGTGTCTTTGCACTTGCGAAAAACAATAATCAAAATTCGACTTGAAATTTGAATATTGAATATTATTCATATTTTTTTTTATTTCAGAATAGTATGGCGTCTCCGAGAACTGAAGCCAAGTGGCTAAAATGGTATGAGGAGATAGATTCTGATACAAATTCTTGTTCAGATCTAGACGATGCTGCTTCCGAGGATAGTATTCATAACACAGGTACGGAGCAGTCTTCTGATGAAGAAGAAATGATTGAGTCGATCTCGCAACCCCAAAGATTATCAAAAGTACCTTTATTTGTCGGGAAGAATGATACGAAATGGTTAAAACATAAAACTTATGAACCGTCACGTAAAACACGAAGCCAGAATATCATCACCAAACTGCCAGGTGTGTCCAGAGAAGCAAAGGGAGCAAAAGAGATAATAGATTGCTGGCAAATATTTTTTACAACGGAAATTATAGCCGAAATTGTGACATACACCAACCAAAAAGTCGACGAAATGAGAAAATTCTATGGACGTCCCCGAGACTGTTTACCTACCGACTTGGAGGAACTGATGGTATTTTTTGGCCTACTTTATTTAGCCGGCGTAAAAAAGAGTCAACATCTACATACAAGTGAATTATGGGCCAGTGATGGAACATCATCAAGTTATTTCCCAGCCACAATGTCCCAGAAGCGATTCCACATCCTTCTCAGAGCTCTACGGTTCGATGATAAAACTACCAGGAAGGAGCGTTCTAATATTGATAATTTTGCAGCTTTCAGAAATGTTTTCGATACGTTTGTACATAAGTGTACAAGCAGTTACTTTCCACACCAATATTTCACCATAGACAAAATGTTAGAAGCTTTCAGGGGCAGATGCCGCTTTCGTCAGTTTATAAAAAGCAAACCTGCCAAGTACGGCCTGAAGATATTTGTCCTTGTTGATTCAAGAACCTTTTATATCCACAATATGGAAATGTATTGTGGAAAACAACCATCTGGTCCATATCAAGTACCAAATGATGCGGCTAGTATAGTCAAAAGGCTGATCAAACCCATAAACAAATCAGGAAGAAATATAACTGCCGATAACTACTTTTCATCCGTGCCACTTGCTAATGAACTTTATATAAATCACCATTTAACATATGTTGGCACACTTCGCAAAAATAAACGTGATATTCCGCCAGAGCTTCTGCAAGTGAAAAACAGGCCAGTTCATAGTACTATGTGTGCATTTGGTAAATGCACTTTAACTTCATATATTCCGAAGAAACATAAAAATATGCTAATGATTTCTACTTTCCATGATAGCGATACAATCGATCCAGAATCCAGAGTGCAAAAAGCAGAAGTAATCATGTTTTATAATAGCACAAAAGGCGGCGTGGATGTTGCTGATCGCATGAAAGCGGAATATTCAGTTACCAGATTTAGCAACCGCTGGCCGTTTACGCTATTTTGCAGCCTTCAAAATATCGCTTCCATAAATTCTCAAATCATTTATAGAAATAATACTGAAAATGTTATCTCGAGACGTTTCTTCATTTTATCTTTGGCTAAAAGTCTTATAAAGCCACATATGGTGAGGAGAAGTTCCTTGTCAAATATTTCGGTTTCACTCCAGCAAAAAATATGCAGTATTGTTGGTAAAAGCGCCGACAAAGTTGCCTTTATGAACCCTGGTGAGGCTCAATCTAAAGCACGTTGTGGATTTTGTCCATGTCGCAAAAATAGATTCACAAATAATAAATGTAGCCGCTGTCAAACTCCGCTATGTAGAGAACACACGGGTACAACAGTTTTTGTATGTTATAAGTGCAAAGAAGCAGAGGACAATCTTACTGAATAAATGTTATTTCCATGTTATTATCGTAATGATGTTTTGTTATTCCCAGTTCGTTAGCAAGTGAGCTCTGGTTTGGTTTCTTCAGTTTTATTCTGTTGTTTTATCATTTGAGATGGCTGATATACAATAAAATATTGTTAAGTAAGTTAATAAAACTGTTTAATAAACATTTTGCAATAAAAATAATGTATCTTATCCCAAATAGAGAATTTCTCAGAGATATGCAAAAATACCGTCATGTTAGATAAAAATGACACGGGTGACCTCGCGTTAGAAAAAATCTAATCGCGCGACCGATGGCGTATGCAAGAGGAGCGCGACTGATGGCAGGTTAAGCCCATTACGTATCGCCAGCTGAAAGGCTAGTCTTCTACATCTGACGCTCGGAGACCAAAATACCTTCTTTCCATTTCGAGAGCATACTCAACTAGTGCTTCTTCAAGTTCATCTGTTAAAGTAGGTTTTCTGCCTAATTTGATAGCAAGTAATGTATCAACCGGTTTCTTACTTATTACATAATCAATCAGTGTGCTTTTGGGTACGCCAAATGCTTTAGACGCCTTGAGAGTTCCCATTTCCTTGTTCTTAACTGCTTCTACTGCCCTCTTCATCGCTTTTGCATTCCATTGCTTTCTTTTTTTTGGAGGCATCTGTGAATAAACAGATGCTTAATAATTATAACTTCAATATAATGAAACAATATCTACGTCACAACATCAAGTGTTCCTTATATCGGGTACCCGATATTTGGCATCTTTACATGCCCGATATTAGGAAACATAACCTCAAAATATTACGACAATATATCTTAAAAAGCAAATCGAAAGGGACATTTTTCTAATCCTTAGTGGATGGCTGCAAGCCTATCGAAGACATATGAACATAAAAATAAACAAAAACAGACCTACCTTTTCATGAAAACACCAATTTAGTTAACACTTTCAAAATATTCGTGGCGGATTTCACACACTTCCCGTGTTTGTGGAATGGTGGAAAGAATGAAGGTCACAAAAACATATGAACGTTACAGGTTGCATTTAATGTGGTTCCTGTTACATGTTGGTCATTATAACAGTAGATGGCTGTAGTAGCTCGTCTAATAAACCGCTGCCCGATATTCGGAACCTACCCAATATTAGGCATCCTTCCTCTATTGATAAGATGCTATATTCAGGGTGTTCGAAAAATAGTCGGAGATATTTTATAGGGTGATTCCTTGTAACTTTAGGTTTCTTTGGTCTATTGTGGCTCACACCTATTTATATTTCCCCCAGTAGCTCCGACCTCCTGAGGAAGTCGATCAGGTTGTTTGGAGAAGCATCCATCAGGTCTTCCCATTAAACACAGATGTATAAATGTTACAAAAATTTCATATTTCTTTGTTATTAGTCATGTAAAAATGAAGTAAACACTAAATCCAAATAAGGTAATCGGCCTACCACACGCGCAAGCTTCACTACAGTTTTACCTGCATTGTACATGGAAAACTGTGTGTGTGGGGTTGGCATTCCGTTTTCTTGCGCAAACCTCGCAGCGTGGCTTGCGCGAGTTTTTATTTTTTGAAATTTTGCCTGCGCAAGCCTGGCCTAAGCGTACTTGCCTGTGCGTGCGGTTGGATGTTCAGTGATTAAGCCACAGCTGAGGCTGGTTGCGCATTCGTCCGTCACAAAATGGCAGATTCGCGCTCATATAATCACGAGTGCACGACGGAACTAATAAATTTATACAAATCCTTACCAGCGCTCTGAAAAATTAAGTGCAAGGATTATGCCGACAGAAATAAAAAGAACGCAGCATCCAGGAACGTTAAAGTAAAGCGGAATAATTCACTATAGGCATTTTCATCCATCCGTAAATAATTTCGCCAGTCGTTTGAATCATCTTTTAAATCATTCAGTAGATTTATATGTGAATGAATTATTCTATTCAACAGCAATTTTTTCATCCACTTCGATCTTTTACATTTAGACTTTAGCAGTGTATTTTTCTTCATTAACAAAACCTTAAAATATAACAACAGAAGAAGTAGTTCTTCATTGGGAAACATTGTTTCCACGACGACGCTTGCGCGTACTTAACTGTGCCGTGTGGGAGCTACGTCTGTGTTCAAGTTTCACTACAGTGTTACCTGCGTCTTCCACCATGCCCAGCCTGCTCATGTGGTGACGGAATTTGCAATGAGCAGTGTACAGTCCTACTAGGGCTTTGAATCTATTCCTTGTTGAAAAATGTGAAAAAAGTTTACATAAACGCTTGTCCGAAAATGCAGTTTTCAAGATACAGGGTGATGAATTTAAAAAAAGTTCTAGCAATATTATTTGCTGTGTTAAGAGGTTAATTTAGCCCTAAATAGACCTTGGCGAATATTATTGGCAAAAAACTGTACGCCACTGCCGATTTGTAGCTTTAATATTTATTGTTTGATTACACATCTAAAAATATATAACTTATTTGCCTCTTCGTCACTGGACAAAATTGGTTAATTAATGTTTGCTAAAAAAAAAACAGAAGTGCCTTGGAAAACAAAAAATCAAAAAACTTTCTAGGTACGACATACCATGACATAAAGTACACCACAACAGATTAATATTTTTTTTTAAATGTATCACCCTGCATTTCCGGACCCATCTTTATAGAAACTTTTTTTTAAAAAGGATTCACCCTCTAAAATGTCTCCGTCTATTTTTCGAACACCCTGTATATTGTTGTTATCGGTATATTAGAGAAAATACGAGGTCTTTTGACCGAAGCCACAAAATGTGCCTGCTGGTTCTTGTTGGTGGCTTCTAGTTGTAGTTCTCTTTCCCTCCTTGTTTTCCTTCAAGTTATACCCGTATCCAGATGTCATGGGCACATGTTTACACTTCAGTGTTTTCGATGCGCATCCATTTGGGCCTGATGAAGTCAATAATCAGAAACGTATGACGCTGGGGTTACCAGTCCTCCTATTTCTGCTCTTGTAATCCTTTATTGCGGACATGCCCACGATTGTCCTGATAAAAAATGAAAAGCAAAAGACTATGATACAATCTTAACGTAACTATTTTACTAATTTTATATTTACAGGGTGATCTTATTCTTGAAGTTCCGCATTTGATAGAAGCTGTAACAATGGTAGTTGATACTATACAAAACCCAGACGTGTTAATTGTTATAGATAAACAACAGTAAGTATTTGTATAAGTAGTGTATATGCGTTAGTTCTTTATTGCAAACAATCGTTTTCCCTATTATTTTTTACAAATCTCGATTTACACACCAATGCTATGAACAAATCCTCCAAAACTCGTTCAGGTAATTCTCAATACTCAAAAGGGTACCAGGGAAAACGGCATTAGTCCACTATTTGGCTAAATTGAGCTTTCAGTTTATCTTGGTGGCAATTTCCTCATGCTGTCTTGTAATCAGCTTCTGTAAAAAGGGCTTAGGTTCACAAAACAACAGCTATAAGATTCTCTGTGCCGGGGAAGAATGGCATGAGTACCTGCGCGTGTATGAAAAAACGGCATCAGTCCATATGGAAAGGCGGCGTTGCATCGACCGTACCGCTTGGGCACTTCATTATTGCATCAGCCATTAGTTTACTATTCGGTAATTTAGGTTATAATACGGGTTTTGTGTATAATGGATAGTGAATATTCAGTTTCAAGTGAAAATTAACCAGGCCCATCAAAACGAAAAAACGCAAAAAACAGGAAGACAAAGAGACGTAATGAAAACGTTGCGCGCCACTACCCACGAACTTAGATCTGATTGTTTTTGTGAACGTTTTCGCTGTTTTACTACTGTTCCTGAACCTGAACGCTGTAGACTTCTTCGTGAATTTAATGATCTAGGAAACACTAATGCACAAAACGCTTATCTTAATGGTCTTAACACTGTTCTTCCTGTCATGCGTAGACGCCCTCGAGAAAATGAAGCAGAGTCAAGACTTAATAATGCTTAATTTAGTTATCATCTCCGATTGGTTGAAAATGGAATTATACGTGATGTTCCAGTTTATCTTGAGGCTTTTTTGTCTTCACACGGAATTACAGTTCGTTGAGTTCGGTACATAAGATACTCATTAGTTGCAACTGGGAAATCGCCCATCGACATGCGTAAAAAACACAACACACGACTTCACAAACTTTCAGAAAACACAAAACAGAAAGAGACCGAGTTTATTAAGAGCCTCAAATGCCGCAAATCTCATTATTCTTTGGCAGATTCGCAAAAAGTTTACCTACCTGAAAATCTAAATATCGCAAAATTATACAAAATGTATTATTGGCTATGTAGAATCCTTCAAAGAAATCTTTAAAAACAACTTCAGTATATCCACGAAAAGATACTTGTAGTACGTATGATTCCGTAAAAGCTGATATATCTTCACTTACCGCTACCTTAAATTCCCACACGGAACAAACTAGGCAGTCAGCAAGTAATAATTTGGAGAAAACGATACTTGAGAAGACACTATATCAAAAAAAGGGTGAGCGATTTTACAGTCTAAAGAGAACTTACCGCAAACGTGCCTCGAAGTTCCCCGCTATCGAAAGTATCACGATGGATTACCAAAAAAACTTGCCCTGTCCAAACATTACGACAAATGATGTTTACTTCAAGCGGCAACTAAGTTTCATCAGTTTTAACATCCACATTCTGTCAAACCCAAATTCTCTCTTTTATACCTACGATGAATCTATTGCTAAGAAAGGAGCTGACGATGTCTATTCTATGCTGTATCACTTTTTTTATAACATCCTGCCTATGGAGGTAAAAGAACTTACCATTTTCTGTGACTCCTGTGCAGGGCAAAATAAAAACTTCTTACTACTGTGAAAGTAATATTCCCGATCTGGGGGCATTCATACCTCGAGTGTGATAGAGATATGAGTCTCGTGAACCAAAGAGCATACACCGAGGTACCGGATGACTGGAGAGGTGAATTGAAAAATTGCCGTGTGAAACCTACACCATTTGAAGTCATTGATTGTGGCAAAAATTTTGATTTTCAAGATTGGAGTACATTTCTGTCGCTGTTCTATCCAACGAAGTGCCCCTTTCCAACCCAACCAGTCAGCATGCTCCAGTTTTGTAAACAGAATCCTCGCGTAGTTTTTCACAAATCAACATACATGGGCCTATATGCTAGTTCTAAATTTGATAAGGTAATTCGGAGGAATCTAAAACAGGCGCAAAAAGATCAACAAAAACGAGAAGAGGAAACATTGAGAAAACTTTACCAGGGCCCAATCCCAATAAAAAGTAGGAAAAAGAAGGATCTGCAGGATCTGGCCAAATTTCTAGATAGAGCAGATTCCAGGGCATTTTATCAACAGTTAATATCTCTTGATCATCTAGAAGACAGCAGTGATGAATATGTCGATGACCCGCCAATACACGCTTACAGCAGGGGAAAAGTGGCACGAGTCCAGACTTGAACATCATCTTTTGTTTGTTACGTTACTAGTTTTCAGTAAAAGTTCATTCTGTAAAATTTATTTTACCAATGCACTGTTTAGCAAAGATATTCTTTGCGACTTATTTTTTCATCAATTTTACTTTCCAACAAGTAAGTATACCTTAATTACCGATTTTCTCAAAATCAGTCCGGATGGACTATTGTCGTTATTCCCCGGTACCCTTCACTTGTTCTTAGGCTGAAAAGCACCCAAAAGATGCTTTCAACGGTCCCCCGCTGTTTCGTTATCAGTCTCATACATTCCCTGGTCGACATCAATATTTTATGTCCGAAATAAAAGGCTTTCCGAGATAAGCGAGAATAAAACATGTTACTGCTCCAGCCAACCATGAATAATTTCTCACCGCCACGGTCTCGTGCTCGCACTTTTTCTGCACCTTTCGTACATGTTCGATTTCCAAGCTCTTGCAGCATCAAGCTCGTCCAATCTGTTCTGAACGTAATAAATGATAAGCATGTAAGCATGAAGCTGTGACAGTTTATCACGCCTGTTATTTCCGATATAATTGTATTTCACCGGCTTCAGAAATTAGCTGGTTCCACCGTCTTGGGAACTGGTATGGATAAAATCACCCGCGAAAAATATAATTTATAGCTTAATGAAAACAGAAGTTATTCTCAAAACATGTGCTTTGTGACCTAGATAATTATTTTTGAGGGTCCCAAACGGGAAATTACATGATTTAGTTTAGTATCAAGAGTTAATGGATGGTTTGGAATTAATAATCAAATCCAAGCGAATAACCAAAATTTCTGTGTTATGTGCCGCGGTTATAATATGGTTCAAGATGACACACGGGTTGATGACGTCAGTTACACGAGTCGCTTGAACGCGTTGGTTTTAACCGCGGTTTTGTTGCACGTTGTTTATTTTAGAAAAGCGCGTACCTATTTATTATCACTTAATAATCGGTGCTTTTTCGTCTACAGCTGTATATGGAAAGTTTAAATAAGAAACCTTTCATAATATTCATGTGAGAAATGTTTTTTTCAGATTTTTTTTTAATGATGGAACCATGGCTTTGTAGCTATGATGACTTTCAATTCTCTAAATTTTTCCACATGTCAAATAAAACATTTATTGATTCAGCAAAAATGATGAAAAAAGAAACTAGCAAAACCGTATACAGGTGGATATCATCTAGTGAGTTTATATGGCCATATTTGAATATTCTTGTGGTATATGGCTACACAGGATACTTTGTTAAGCATAGGAACTACATTTAATAAAGTGTCCCCAACAACCGTAATGAGTATAACTAATAAGGTGCTCCACTTTATGGTAAAACTGAAGTCAGCCTGTATCAATTTTCTCAAACATGAAGCTGAAGTACAATAACAATATCCAATACCCGGCAAAATTCTAACTTGTCACATTTCAAATAATAACCAGAAATATAAAACTACTCTTGAGTTGGGTAAATACCACAATTTTGCGGTGATAACTATGACATATAACAGCTGATTCGCGACGTCACGGATCTTATAACCAAACTGATAAGTACACTCGCTTGAACGGATCGGTAAATACCAACCAAAATGGTAAATACCATTTCCATTTGGTTATCCGCTTGAATTTGATTAATATTTTTTAACCTTGATCACACCCCTGCGTAGTTTCCTTTAAAGGTCGAATATAATATCATATCCATACTTCAAGTGCAAGAACGCAAATTATCAGTACAAAAATGTATTAGCAAGCTAGTCTGGATGTTATATTTACAACTTATTTTTATGATAGTAATACTCATTTTTGTATACCCTACGATTATCTGACGTCTGTTTCAGCATCGAGCATAACATGAAGGGCAAACACGGCACAATAGACATCCAAAAAGGAGATCCACCAAAAATCCACAGAGATAAGAGCGGCCATTTGCTAATTGTGAGTTTTGATGGATATGTTGTAGCATTTTATAACATCGTATTTTTCAGGTTGTATCACCGTAAAAATACGGTTATCATTGAAGTGATATTGTGAGAAAAAAGGTGCCATTACATTTTAATGCCCATTCAGAGTGTGGAAAAGATGCAGTCGTATATTACTCCAAAACGCAAACGTTATTGTGGTTCACAGAAACAGAAAATATAATAATATACTTCAATATATTGTTGACTGCATTTCTTTTGTCGCTAGCATAAGTTCAAAAGAAACAAGGCAATATATCAAAACAATATCAAGGAATGCACAAATTCATTTTTTTTTTGTTGGTTACCGCATTTGCTTTTTATGCATAGTACAAAGGTATGTGCAGTGTTTCTCTGGTACTTAGTGGATACTAGCGTAAAAAGGTGTTGAATATATAAAATTTTGTAACTGCGCAAAAGTAATATCTTCACTGTCTCTGAAGCTATTGTCAAAGTACAAAATGCAGGAGGAGTAAGTACTAAAGCTTTTTATGCATGTTGTGCTTTGACAAATGTATTCTACCAATTAGATAAGCCATTGGGTGACTGAAGCTGCAGCATGAAATGCCTAACATGTCGGTCCAAAACCAGCATCTAGAAGTTTTTTATTAATAATTCAATGAGTGTCTCTATGATCTTTACCAAAAATTCAACATCTGCTATAAATCACTTCCAAGCTCCTTACAGAAATATGCAGAAGTTCTGCAGTTTCATGGAGCTTTCGCTATGCCTATCTTTTATTGTTATGTTTCTGCTTTTCAAATGATGTATGCCGTAATCCATATAGTTTTAAGAGGGTAATATACTGTTTTTAGAAAAACATGGTTTGATTTCCCCCAGTACTCAAAATGAAAATGTGTGGACTACTCGGTTTGTACCCGGTTCTTGACCTATTTGGCCGAGTTTGGCAGAATTTTAAATTACTTGACCGGCAGGGGTATTACGTATATTGAAAAGTGGCATTATGTCGTTTTTCGACATTATGTAGGTTTTTCTATAAGATGTAAACTTAGAATTAGCTGTTGTCCATGTGCACTCGTTCGATAGCCGTACGCTTCAGCTATCAATGTTTGACTCTGATGTGATGGTGAGAAAATAGCCTACAGGCAGGAATATTTATGAAACGTGAAAATGTTATTACATTTTACATTATTTTTTGTGACTTGATTGCTTCTCAAATTTGTTGAATATAATATAATTTCTAACTTTGAACATAACCTCTCTTCAGAAAGGACAACACAAATAACCCATCTAGTTCAGCTGATATACGGGCAGCAAATTCAGTAATAATTTTCTGACATAACAAATATTACTGATTTTATACATACGAGGGGCACGCTGTATATTTTGAGATGCGCATTAACTATACTAGTTACTATTAGAAAGAGCAGTCCTTTATTAGTAAGTCGCCTTACAGAGCACGTGGTGTAAACAAATTTAAGACGAAACATCGAGTTGTCTCGAGAGAGTTATCGCACTATAATTTACAATGACTTTAAAGTCGATTTTACTGAACATCAATGTATCGAACGGTTACAACACGCGTTTGGTAATGAACCTCCATACCGAGCAAGTGTGTTTCGCTGGTATGCCGAATTTAAAAGAAAGCCTTTTTCATTGGCTGATGAAGAACGTAGTGGTAGGCATGTTCTAATGTGACTCCAGAAAAAATTGCTGAAGTTCAGCGGCTAATTGAAGAAGATTCTCGCTGCACATATGCCACTATAGAGGCATGGATCATCTTCATCTAAAACAAGTTGTTGCATGCAATCTTGCATCACTACAATGCCTCTAGCTACACTGCCCAACTAACTGTTGACTTTTTACGCCAGCACCACATCAAAATGCTGGAACATCCGCCTTATTCGCCAGACTTGGCAATGTGTGACTTCTGGCGCTTCAACAATTTGAAAAAAAATTGCGTGGTCGAAAATTTTCGTCCGAAGAGGAAATCGATCAAGCAATTAATCAGTTTGTTAAAAGCATTCCAAAAACTGACTAGTTAGAAGCATTTCATTTGTGGAAGGTCAGGCTATAGAAATGCATTGATGCTGGAGGAGAATACTTTGAACATAAATGAACTAGTTTTCGAAAAATAGTTTTTAGTTTTCGTGTATCTCAAAATATATAGCGTGGCCCTCCTATATCTAGACCAATATACACAATCATCCAGATGCGATATTGCTATTCAACTAATTTTCTTTCTTTCACAAATTCTCAGAGATACATACTCTACAGACTATCTCGGCATTAGTCACATAACACCTACTTTATAAGGGAATCTGTAATGCTCAGGTTTATCACTAAGTTTGTAGCGTCATCTCAGGGACATTCTCCGAACTTTTTATAGAACCTATACGAACTGTTACAGAACCCTTCAAAAATATCGAATACCAAACGCCATCTTTGGACTTCCCTATTACACTGTGGCGCTAAATTTGAATTAAATATTCAAATTATATATAAGGTATTTTAGGTAAAATAACGCTCAACCTGATTATATTTTTAAAATGTGTATTTTTTTAATACAATACATAAAAATAATAGTTATGCAAGTTGTTAGGAACCTAAAAGTAGTCGGTATTACCGATGTACTATCGCGTGCATAAGAAACTTGAACAGCATCTATTGTTAACAGACATGCATTGCCAGGGATCTCTTATCAGTGTGACAGTGCCTTGTTATCTCTTTATAAGATAAGGTCATCGATAGTTCAGGAGATATGCGATGTCCATGTGCTTTCTGCATGTGGTAGTACCTATGTAAAGTATAAAATAACAATCTTCTTGAGAACAAATGAGTAATTAATTTATAAAAGTAAAAATAGGAAAATGTTTAACTACGTATTAAGTTACTAAAAATAAAATTGAAATATTCTTAATAAATTCAAAAATAAATTTCTAAAAGGAATATACTGAAAGTAAACTAAATAAAAAATAAAAATAGATACCTTTAGCAGTTGCTGAATTTCTAAAAGGAGTAGTTAAGTTGATGTCTTCAGATAATCCTGCTTTTGGGCTATAGCTTTCAGCCCACCTTTCACCTATGAATAAAAAAAATAAAAATAAAACGAGTTGAAAACCACATACAAATATTTGATTGAATATTATTTTATACCCGTACATACAAGTTTGGAAATTGATTTGATTGAATTAAATTTAATTTTTTTTTTAAACTAAATACTTGCAAAATATATACTGAAACATACTTACATCTTAAATATTTTGGGGGAGCTGAATTCAAGTCTTTAGATGAGTCTGGTCTTGGATGTTCTGAGGAACGTTCAATGTTTGAGTTGAAGTAATTATACATACATATTATAGCTCTCACGGATTAGCAATTTTCCTACTACCTTCATGAGTTTCGGGACTACTCTGAACATTTTCCGAAACCATACCTAAAAAAGAATTGAAATTCATTATATGTTTATAATGCTAGGTAAGTTTTTCAAAAAAATGTGGAAACCGTAAATATTTAATAATATTAATTATTAATATTGGTTTATATATGTAAACAAAGTTATTACTTACTTAAAGATTGAAGTTCAGAAAGATGTAATGTAGGAAAAGCTGTTCTTTTCAAACCTCTCTTGGTTCCAGGCACTTTATCACTTTTCGAAAAATGTAAGTCACACATCAAATAGCTTTTATAAATTTGTTCGTGATTTTTATTGTCCAAAATTGGATTTGCTCGATCCACTTGTTGAAAAGAGCGGTATCATATTTTGGAAATGTATGCCTTTTACTGACAGTATCAGTACAACCAGGCACTACGGAATTTTTAAATCCCCGCTTTCGATAAGCCTCCATTACAAAAAGTAAGTTTGTGAATTGAAATTCAGTTAAGGCTCAATGAATATCAGTATCACCGACACAGAACTAATAAAAACGCCGGCGCCGCACACGATTCAACTTTATATTCAACGTATATCAACGTCAAAACATTTAACTGTCAAAAAGAATGGAAAAACCTAGTATCAGCGCCACTCTGTTGTTACACTCCGTACTAAATATATAAGAATATCTGGTTGCCTACAAAGTAGATGTTATGTGGCATTAGTCAACTAGCAAAGCACGGCGTGTCGTTGAGTAATTCATCCATAGATGTCGCTAGGGTGACGGTCACAGCGCTCATAGCGAGCAATAGCAGAATTAACTATTTGTACATTAGCAGCTATCTAGTCAGAAAGTTGACATTTTGTCGTTTTTTACATTATATAGGTTTTTTACGTAATAACCCTACAGATAATTAATCGATCTAAATGCAAGCCACATAACTTAAAAACTCATCTCATATTACCATATAATTTCTTCATAAATGCCGAGTGTCGTTCGACATTTGCGTATCTTATTTTTTATATACAAGGTGTTACTACTACACGTTTCTCATTCTCTACTGAAGTGTAAGGATAATTTAGGTTCAGTCCTTCCCAAATCTGAAATGGTCCCACCACTGACATCCAGCAGTTTTCACGAGTATCAATCACGCTTTGAGGTGAACAGCTGATCACAAAAGCGACATCTTTGTGAAAATTTGTAATGTTGGCAATAATGAATTTCGGGACCGTATTCAGAGCTGTTGTTCAATATCAAAATTATATTTTTAAGTGGGTGGGAAATGTGACAATAAAGTGTACAAGTACAGATATACCAAAGTTAATTAGAAAATCATTATGTACATCCGGGATTTATTGATTACATGGTATGTCAATAGAACAGGTTGCATAGTTCTTTCCAGAATTTGTAAATTTACCTGTAAAGATAATATAGACAAATGTTTCTAGTTTATTGTCCGTCATCAATGTAATTCAATTACAGTATGTGCAGAACCTTTCATAAAAATTAATAATGAATACAGCTTGTTTGAAAATACAAAATATACTGTTGTAAAAATTAAAAAATTATAAACTGCATTTCTTATTTCCCTCTCACAAGCGCTATTAGCTTCCGCGGGACGATTGCGTTTCCTTTGGATTTTTGCAGAGTTCTCAACAGTTGGCCCATGCCTGTATTCACGAACACTGCATTGTCCCAGTTGTGTACATTTCATGACTTCCTGCAATAGTTGTACATTTAACTAACATTTTTCTAGTTTATTGCTTGTTAAAATGACCTGAGTAATGTTCAGACCTAATTGAGGGAATCTAACCTCTATCAACTGTCATTATTCTGTGATGGATACTCGTGAGATAAGGTATATGGGATTTGAATTTAGTGTTTGTGAGGCCTGAAACCTCACATTGCCTACTTTCAATAAAAACGCAGGTTTAAGACGTTGAGTGTGTATCTATTTAATGTCTTACAATACTTCTTTTGTTAATTACGTTTTGAAAAATATTAGAAAACTAGTATACAGGATGTTTCAAATTTGACCCTCACCATTGGGATTTCGGAAGCTCTACGAGATACGAAGTCGCTTAAAAGTTGAGTATTTACGTAATCAACAAAATGCCGCTTAGAAAGTTTCGAAATTCAAAGTATTTGCCAAAAGCGTTATCATTTCTTCCTGACTTTGTAAGCGGATTTCAAAATAAATTGCACGTTAACATTGCCACTTTTCCCTCTCTACAATACGGCTTAATTAGAATTTCAATATGATGTTTCGTCTCTTGTCCTCCCGCATCAACTTTATTTTTTTTACTGACGAAATACTGGATTTTTGCACAGATGAATAGAGTTTTCAGTTCTGTATAATACGTTTCAAAAATGTATGATACGTCACATTGACATTGCCAAACCCAAGTTATTCTAGAAAAAACAGATGTTCCTAGGTAGGCCTCGAAACTGTCAGATGCTCATTTGTTCTGCATACAAGATTTATCCCAAAATCACTTTAATTTTTTTCCGACTTAAGCTAAGATGGGGTTCCAAAATAAATTGCATGTTAACACTGGCACTTTTTCTCCTCTACCGTAAAGTGGGGCTACTTTGTAACACTTTTTTAGGTTTTTTGATGATTTATTTCAAATTGTTTGAAGTATTATAATTTAAGATATGCCACCTTATAGCACCATCTTTTTTCTATCTCAAGTAGAAAATGTAAATCAATAAATGTTATAGAACTCGAGAAAATGACAGAAAAAGTTGTCACAAATTAACCCCATAGGTTGGGGTTACTTTATGACATGCAGTTTTTGTAACTATATCACAAAGAAATACACAAGCTTTGTTTAAAAAATAAAAAGTATATATATTTGAGAGAAAAAACATATATTTGAGAAAAAAACACATACAATTTCCAAAAACAAACTCTAATTGGCATTAACTAGGTATATAAGGTTATGCTTGAAACAACAAAATGTTTATTATTACAAACATTATAAAAAAGCTATTGTTACTCAATAATGTATTTCAATTCTGGAACGTCAAATAAGGCTCGCTTTCCACGCTGCATTGGAACGTTTATGCCCATAACAATTTCATCGTTCCTATAAAATATCTCGTCCGTCTTAAGAGGCCACTTCCATTGTTTTCCAGCACGTTCCATCACATTTACGGTTGCTCTTACCCTAGAGACATTAGAAATTTGACCAGGAAAATAGCTTTGCTCAAATTGTACAACTACGTACTTTCCCGTTGATTTCTCCACTTTTTGGGATTGGACTTTATTTTCTTCAGTGGGCTGTTCATCTCTATCATCGAAAAAATGGTCATCACTTGTACTGTCATCACTCTCCATGTATTTAACTTCGTCCTCATTTTCACTAGAACTATCTGATGATGATCTGTCAGCTCCAATAATTCTTAGACGTTTTCTCTGACGGATGCCAGAGGTTCCAGGCTCAGGATCAACAGTTTTTGTCATATTTTCAACAGTAAGTGTGTCATTGTTAAAGTCACTACTGCATATGCTTTTACCGTGGCACGTTCAGACGTTTCCTTCTTTTTACCTGTCTCTTTTTCGTTGTTTCAGCCCTTACATTGGTAATGTGTTGAATAAAACTGTTACCAACATGCTCAGTTATTTCGGTATCTGCTGTTACGACTCGATCGCATAAACAGTCTAACACTTGTTGTTGGTCCAAAGGACAAATTCCTGTTTTTCTGAAACCGGATTTTCAATTATCAGGCGGTTTGTCTGACAACTGATTCATTAGATTTTTCAAAAGCCCCGGAAATTCATCCTTTGGTATAGAAGAAACTCTGCTGCCATAACTGCTTGCCTTCCACTCGCTCAAAATCTTCATTGGTCGGAAAAAAACCACGTCAAGTGGTTGGAGTAGATGCGTGGTATTAGGAGGTAATGCTATAAAACGAATGTAATTAGCTTCACATTCTCGAATGACTTGCTGATTCAAGTGTGAACTAAGATTGTCGCCTATGATTGCCTTTCATCCTTCTTGACGTTTTAATATTGGAAGTATAAGATGTAAAAACCAATCCTCAAAAATTTGATAGTCAAACCATCCTGAAGCCGTCCTATTATATCGCGCGTTTGGCGGTCCATTTTCGGTCCAGGTGTTCCATAATTTTTGAGATTTATAATTGACGTAAAGTGGTATTTGACCCTCGGCGTTTCCGCATACCATTAATGAGGTACAGGCTTTAGATGAGTTCCTGATATGTTCAGGATACTTCGTTCCTCTTTTGGTAACTATTTTTGTCTGTCCCGGGTCATCAACTAGGTTAGTCTCATCATAATTCCATATATTGCTTGCAGGAATTCCTTCTAACTCAACCTACAAATTATCGAAGAAGTTATATATGATTTCTTCATCAGTAGCAGCCCTAACATGTGAAATGTTCTGCGCAATCCTCTGAGAAAGTTGTGGATGTCGTTTTAGAAAGGATTTGACCCAATCACATCCTGGCATATTGTTTTTAAAAGGTTTAATATTTTTGCCCTGCCGGTCCAAATAGGACTTTACTAGACATCGAAGGTCAAATGTGCTTACTGGAAAACTAAAAGCTGACACAGTAATTACATGGGCTGCAAATATATTTTCTTCCTCCTCAGTAACCACTTTTTGTTGTCCAGGTTTGTTCTTATGTCTCTCTTTTATTTTCAGCCATAAAGTATTTTGATGGATATTATATTTTTCTGCAGCACCGCGTAGTGAAATCCATTTACTCCTTATCTCGTGAAGAGCTTCTGCTAATTTTAACTTGTGTATAATTTTTGTAATTGCGACTACCAATTTTTCTTCTATACAGTCGTGGCATTGTATCTGAAAAATTACACATTTTGCGTTTCAATAATACCTTCATAAACATTCAAGGGGTTACTTGACAATTTTTTGTCACAAAGTAGCCCCTCTAATTGTAACCAATTTTTAAAAAATGTGTTAAACAAAGTGAAAAATAACTTAGAAAAGATATAATTCTAACGTGAAAACGTTCATATTTTAATATAAACCTACCTTGGTGGAAAAATCTTTTAATATATTTTCGGACCAACACAAAGTTTGCACACAAAACGAAATCCACCTGTTTACTCGATTATCGAATCGGCTCTGGCACGAGGAGCACAGCTGTACTAGGAGCTATTGATGAAACGGCATAGATGGAGCACCTAGTCCACTATGGAAATATAAAATTTGAATTATACTACCGCCTTCAGCCACTTGGTAAAAATATAAAATTTAATCATAGATGTCACTGTCACAAAGTAGGCTGTAGTGTTACAAAGTAGCCCCTCTTTACGGTATTCCAGAAAACAGAAATTTATAGATAGGCCTTGAAATTATCAGATTTCATTTGTTTCATATACCAGACCAGACCTCAAATTGAACTTGGCAACAGAGTTTAGAAGACTGCAAAAAAGAGAAATGAATCAAGCAGTGAGCAGTGTACAGAGAAGAGTCAGAGGCTTTGCCTACAAAATAACGGATAACATTTCAAACATCTGCTATGATTTACCTCTGTTTATTTATTATTATTATTGTTATTACCATCAATAAAACCTCACCATACCTTTTTATTCCCTTTTTAATTTTCATCCAACAACAAATTCATAGCCAACTATGAATTTAGGACTCAAAAATCCATTTAAATGTACAAAATTCCAATATAACGCCATATGAAAAAACAAAGTAGATAGTGGAACTCGAAAGAAGAAGAATATCAAATTGAAAATTTGACCAGCCCATCTTGTAGAGGTGAATAAGTAGGAATTATGACAAGATGCAATTTATTTTGAAATCCCACCTCAAATAAGGTCAGAAAAAATAAAAGTCATTTTGGGATAAATCTGGTATATGAAACAAATGACTATCTGATAATTCCAATGCCTACCTACGAAATTCTGTGTTTTTGAAATAACAGGTCTGGCAATGTCAATATATGACGTATTACACATTTTTGGAATCAGAAATAAAAAATGTATTCATCTGTGCAAAAATCAATATAGTATCAATAAGAAAAAATAAAGTTAATGCTGGATGACAAGAGGCGAAACGTCATATTGAAATCCTAGTTACGCTATCCTGTAGAGGAGAAAAAGTGGCAATGTTAAAATCCCACTTCAAATAAAGTCAGGAAGAAATTATAACAATTTCGATTTCTTTCGCCTCTCTCTGGAAGTATTTTGAATTTCGAAACTTTTCAAACGGCATTTTGTTAATTACCTAAATATGCAACTTTGCCCCCATTTAAGCAACTTCTTATCGCTTATAGTTTACAAAATCCCAATGGTGAGGGTCGAATTTGAAACACCTTGTATAAATTTCATCAGCTTTTGGAAAGCTTATCTGAAAAGACTATTTTGCTTATTTATAAATCATTAGTTCAGTCTCTATTTCATTTTGGTTTTATAGATTGGGGAGAGATGTGTTTAAATTCTTTACAAAACCTGAATGTTACTCGAACTTACATTTCAAGTCGTATACAAAAAAAGTAAGATCTATCATACTAATTGATTATACGCTAACAATGGCTGAAATAGCAAAGAGAGAATCACTCCAAGTATCCTCCCAGCCAGCTACTACTTGGTAATAGACTCTGGCCAAGTTACTCAGTATTGTCATTTTGAAAAAAGTAGTACTAGCATCCCTAGCCACAGTTGTGAATGGAAGAGAAGTACATCTGAATAATTTTAAAGAACAAAGTTTTTGAGAGGGGGGATATTATGATGTATTTCACATAATTTCTATAATTTGATTTGTCTATCTTTTTTTATATAAAATGGTACAAATTGCTGTATCTTGATGCTGAAATTACCTTGCTAGACCTTAACGATAAAAATAGATATATCTATCCCAATGCTGTTCAAGTATACAAGAACATTTGTTCTCAGAAGCAATGCTCAGCCATTACGCATGTGACATGAACACATTCTGGTCATGCCTTAGAGGTCTGCAGGTGGTACCTCGAAGTTCAACAGTCCGAGATCATCTGCAAACGACATCCATAGCTAAGAGAAAAATTCTCCTAGAATGTTATTCTAGCCTGGGCAGCTTACTATGACTGATTAGTATGGTCATGACATCTACTACTATGCCACCAAGCTGCCTAAATCTTAAATCCACCCTTGTAAACTGTCCATAATTAAAAAAACTACATCTACAATCATAGTGATAATTTTTTATCATAATACCAGTACAAATATAGAATAATCTGGCTATTTGAAAAATTTTCTTAATCAAAGCAAAAACCTCACTAATAAGCATGATATTGTCTAAGATACAACTCAATTTTTGAATTAAATATTAACACATTTATTTAAAATTTGATTTTATTTTGCTGTACAGAGCTATGAAGCTAACAAGCATTTTTGTTCATAACAGGAGTGATGAAGGCCACTACAAAAGTAGGTGCTGCTGTTACAATTGTTTTAGTACCTTAATTAAATATTCAAGTATCATTTTCTGATGCATACATGTCAAGTTATGGTTTTACTGCCTGCTGATTTCTTGTGATGTTCCGAAACAGCCTGTTGGGCCTTTGACATGGTCTGTCGTTTTGGAATAGCTCTATTCCTTATATCCTGTTCAATTGCACTGTTCACAGTTTTTGTTACTATTTGATTCAGCTTCCTTATTTCATCTTTGCCTGCTTTTTTTGGTTTAATTGGTCGATCTGTAAAAAAGGTAAGAGAAAATGAAATACTTTTTGGAGCTGACTGTATCATTATATGTTAAAGTTATAGAACATACCCAAACACTTCATTTTTTTTTAATTGTTCCATAAAAACTGTATGAACTTACTAGCTCGTTTGGTGACTGCACCCCCTTTGGGTTTTTGTTTTGATTTTATGTTTCCTGGTAATTTTGCTTTTGTTTTAAGCTTGCCCTGTGCCATTTGAGTTCTTTAATCTATCACAAACCAAAATCACGTTAAAAGTATGCTTAAAAGTTAGGTTATGCACACATAAATGTAAAACTACATATGTAAAAAATCTTCGATCTGACAATGTGTAAACGCATGTTCACCCGTCATCATTACTTTGCATAAGTTTACTTAACCTTAAATAACACCAATAACACTGAAATGTCAAGCGTAGGATTTTTCATTTATTAAAATTTTAATTAAAATTGTTTTGTTTTGTTTGTTAAATTTTCATTTATAGACTTTAGCTATGTATTCTTTGAAACAGGTATTATTTGCATCAAAATCTTCAATAAAACTATGTAAACTGTTACAAAATGCAGAAAAGATCTCCACTTCAGCAGCATTTGCTAATACTGTAAAAATATTCGACCGCAACACAAAAAGTCTTCAAAGAGAAAGAGCTGCCCATGCAGAAGATGTAGATTTGTATGGTTATTTGAAAGACGAGATTGGGTTTCGACTGGCCGATCGTGTATTTGATATCAAGAGAAAATTCAAAGTAGCAGCTGATATAGGTAGACAAATCAGTATGACTGTACCTTTTTGTGCTTATACAGTATATCAATTCAAGGTTGTAATCGAGGACATGTTGCTAAACATATTTCTCCTGATTCTGTTGAAGAGTTAATCCTCTGTGATGTCAGTCAGAGGAATCTAGATTCGGCTCCAGTAGCTGACGGGATCAAAGTTAAAAAGCAGATTCTGGATGAGGAACACATAGAAGTAAGCAGTTAGCATAAAGAATATGGCACAAAACATATAGGGAGCATATACCTAATTATAGATTACACCACCAGATATCTATTCTGGAAAGTTTATTTAAATGTAAATTTATCTAACTTGCAGAAATTAATTAATTGGTAAGTCAGTTGTTGTAACTTGCCTGTAAGTTATAATTGAACTGAGCAACAGAAAGCTGAACGTTTTTGTTCTCCAGTTTATATTTCTGATCTTGACCGAAACCCTTGTATTGCAGAAATTGAAGGGTTTGATGCTAAAACTGGTCAGCTCCATTTTTCCGCAAATTCAGTTTTTAGGTGGATCATATGGGACAAATATTAGCACATCGTTTGGTGCAAGGATCAGCCACAATATTTTGTTATCAGTTTGGTATTAAATTATTTTCCAATAACATTACGTAGTTGGTATTTTTTCCATTAGAAAATTCCTACAACTAGCAATATTGGAAAGTTTTTAGTGATTTTCCACATATTATAAAACATTGTAGTATTGTACCCCCTTTCCCACATGTTTTGTGTACTCTATAATATGACTACAAACTTTGTAATTTTGAGTTAGAAGCAAAAGAAAAAAGTTGATGTTGACACCTACAGAAAACCAATTTTAGATGAAAAACAGTTTTTACTGATTTGTACTCTTGCCTTTTATGAAAGTTAGTATGCGGCCACCACAAATGAGATAATCTTTACAAACATAACTCTAAATGGCGAACCCTAGGTATAATTAAACTCTCACTCCTCAATCTGAGATTTAATGTGTTGTCACCATAACAAACAATCACTTTTAACTTATTTAAAAAATATACTTTGGCAAGTATTCTTTTTTCAATCAAGTTTTGTATACTCTTAATGCTTTATGTACGAATGCCTAGTATTGATTACTTTAGTTTTACCACCAACAAATTATTTACATAATATTGAAAGCTGGCAAAATTAAGGATGGAGTGCGACATCATGATTACATGCAAACCAAAATTAAGTGACATGGTTATCAGGGTAACTTGAACATATTGATTTATTAACTGGATAGAGTATTACAAACACTAACCATATGTGCAACATAGTTTGTCTAAGGAACAGCATAAATATAAAATATGTGAAAAAGTGTTAAAGTTCATATTTTTGTATGAGATTGTCCACATCTGCTTTATGTTCATTATCGTTCTCCTTGATATAATCTATCAGCCTCCACAGATTTTGCTTGTCCTGTGATGTCATAAACATTGCTAAAGCACTGAACCTCTTGACATGTGTCATTGACTCCAAAATATCCCAAACATTATCATTATTAGCAGTAAAATACCTTGATAATACTTCTAAGATGTTACTGAATACATTGCTTTCCAAAGAATTTTGGAATATTTTTGGCAATAGTATTGGATCAATACTCTTCAAATATTTGTATTTAATATGCATATCCATGATGTTCTTCCAAGTTAGGTTGAATTGTACAGAGCTCTTTGGCGGTGTGAAATCTATATTTGAAATATTACTAATTGTCTTTTTGTCAACATTTGATGAATTTTGTATTTGCTTGAGATTGTTTTCAGTTTCTAATATGTTTGAGGTTGTATTAGTCTTTGATTTCTCATTTGTCTCATCATTTTCTTGTTTCTTCTTAAACAGTGATTCACATTTTTCTCCTTTATAAAATACTTTTAGTTTATCATTTTTTTCAGCTTGATTCTTCTTAAATTCTGATTTATATGTTGCTTCCATACTTGATGGTACGTTTAGTATTAGTGTTGCTTCAGTCCCTGCCTCTTGCTTAGCTACAACATGTTCCTTGATTGCTACAGTTTCTTTTTTCTTAGAAGATTCGGGGCTCCCTATATTCTTAATTTTTGGTTGACTACTATCTATTTCAATAATCTTGACCCTTTTTAATGGTTTTTGTGACCTTATGTGTGGTGGTTTATTGACAGGCTTAACTATGATCACATCATCTTCTGGCCATATTGAAATATCTTTGCTATCATCTACTGCTTTGCTGATGTTGGGTTCTGGTTTGGTAGTTATTGGTGAGACTAAGGGTGAGAAAAGTTTATTTGATGTACTTACTTTCTTTCGAGAGATAGTGAATTTTGAGACTGGTCTTTGTTCTGGCTTCTCAGGTTTATCTAGTTTCTGTCTAAGCTTTAAAAGTTCAGATTTAGATTCACCATTCTTTGGTTCTAATTCCAGTACCTTTATTAGATCAGATTCAGCAAACTCATATTGTTTCAAACCTATTTTAGCAGCTGCTCTTCTCTGATATGCCTTGACATAAGTAGGATCCAGCTTCAAAGAAAGACTACAATCCTTTTCACATTTTTCAAAGTCCTCTTTCTTCAAATGACACAAGGCTCTGTTGGCATAAAATATTGGATCAAATGAATAGCATTTTATCGCTTTTGTGTAGCACTTGATTGCTTCATCCCATTTCTGGCTTTTAACAAATTTATTGCCCTTATCCTTCTCGACGATAGCTTCGTCGTACATGCCTTCATTATGTTCATCTGTAAGCTCAGAATCTTCATCTTTGTCATAATCTAATCGTTCAAGCTCTGCATCCACATCAAATTTTTCCCAAGCAGAGTAATCTGTACTTCCTACTCTTCTTGTAGACTTCGCCAGTGATTTCTTCTTTACTTTATTCTCGTTCTTTTCTTCGGTTTCGACTTTTTTGTCCCTTGTACTTGGGCTTTCTGTCTTCACTCCTCTCAGTGATTCATCTTTTCTTTTCATGTCTTCTCCCCAATTTTTCAAGTCCTCTGAATATTCTTGCAAAACAGCGTTGTTTTCTTTCAATATTTTCTGTAGAAGCACCGGATCCATGCTCATATTTGCCTTATAACGATTTTAAAACGTTTTTGTTTGTTGCTTTTGATTCCAATGTTTCCTTTGACTTTTGACGTATAAGAAGTAAGGTTAAAACCAGTGTTGCCGTTTTTTCAGTAACTACTATCATTTTCCCGGAATGAGATAGCTGATATAGCCAGGAATATCAGAATAGCAGTTTTCAACTTCTATAAATTTTTGTATCGATAGCAGTCGCCATTATACTATTTGCCAGTAGGAGGATATCATATATAAATCAAATTCAAGCGGATAACCAAATGAAAATGGTATTTACCATTTTGGGTTGGTATTTACCGATCCGTTCAAGCGAGTGTGGTTATCAGTTTGGTTATAAGATCCGTGACGTCATGAATCAGCTGTTATATGTCACAGTTATCACCGCAAAATTGTGGTATTTACCCAACTCATGAGTAGTTTTATATTTCTGGTTATTATTTGAAATGTGACAAGTTAGAATTTTGCCGGGTATTGGATATTGTTATTGTACTTCAGCTTCATTTTTGGGAAACTTGATACAGGCTGACTTCAGTGTTAGCATAATGTGGAGCACCTTATTAGTTATACTCATTACTGTTGTTGGGAACACTTTCAATCTAGTTCCTATGTTTAACAAAGTATCCTGTGTAGCCATATACCACAAGAATATTAAAATATGGCCATTTAACTCACTGGATGATGTCCACCTGTATATGGTTTTGCTAATATTGTTTTTCATCATTTCTGCTAAATCAATAAATGTTTTCTTTGACATGCGGAAAACTTTTGTGAATTGAAAGTTATCATAGCTACAAAACCATGGTTACATCATTAAAAAAAAATTATGAAAAAAAACATTTCTCCCATGAATATTATGAAAGGTTTCTTATTTAAACTTTCCATACACCGTTGTAGACAAAAAAAGCACCATTTATTAAGTGATAATATACGCACTTTCCTAAAATAAACAACTTGCAACAAAACCGCGGTTAAAACCAACGCGTTCAAGCGATTCATGTAATTGACGTTATCAACCCGTGTGTCATCTTGAACCATATTATAACCGCGGTACAGGTGAATTCTTTAATTCGCCGGTTGATTCCACCACTGATGGATGCGGTGCTTATGGTTGACACTGTTGACAGCTTTGTATGGTGACGGCAGCAACCGGTTGAATTAAAAGGACGGATGTCTGGTCCACCGGTGGCACCGGTTGCTCAACCGGTGAATTAAAAAATACACCATACATAACACAGAAATTTTGGTTATTCGCTTGGATTTGATTATAGTGATATGGAACATAGCTGACCAAGGACAACTCTGGTAGTTTGTCCTATCTTCTTACTTATTATGTGATCTATGCATTCGTCTATTTTTCTTTTTTCCCTTGTCTCTGTCATTTCATGTTTTGTGTTCTGTGGTCGTCTAGCGGTTTTTCTACCATCTCAACCTTTTGTATTTTGTTTTTACTTTAAACGGTTTTAGAAATAGGAATGGTATCAGTATGATCCAGGTTACCATGGGATACACCTTATTTGCTCATATATATAGGTCTTTTCACGGTTTTTGACAATCTACCGAGATTACTTTTATAAACATCCTTCATAATAAACCGTGCCGGTCTAGTAGAGATTGGTTGTGATAAATATGATTACATAGGCAAGTGTAAGTTAAGTGAATAGAGAAATATGTTTGTTTTATTTAGAATTTTAAATTTTCAGAAACCGATGATGGAACCTCATATCGCAGAACATCGTTAAATCTTCAGTAGTCATTAATCAAATCCAAGCGAATAACCAAAATGTCTGTGCTATGTGCCGCGGTTATAATATGGTTCAAGATGACACACGGGTTGATGACGTCAGTTACAGGAATCGGTTGAACGCGTTGGTTTTAACCGCGGTTTTGTTGCAAGTTGTTTATTTTAGAAAAGCGCGTATATGATCTCTGATTATTTTTATTATCACTTAATAATCGGTGTTATTTCGTCTACAACTGTGTATGGAAAGATTAAATAAGAAACCTTTCATATATTCATGGGAGAAATGTTTTTTTCAGAAATTTTTTTTTAATGATGGAACCATGGCTTTGTAGCTATGATAACTTTCAATTCTCTAAAGTTTTCCGCATGTCAAAGAAAACATTTATTGATTCAGCAGAAATGATGAAAAAATAAGTTAGCAAAACCGTATACAGGTGGACATCATCTAGTGAGATTCTTGTGGTATATGGCTACACAGGATACTTTGTTACGCTTAGGAACTACATTTAAAGTGTCCCCAACAACAGTAATGAGTATAACTAATAAGGGGCTCCACTTTATGGTAAACCTGTATCAAGTTTCCCAACAATATCCAATACCCGGCAAAATTCTAACTTGTTGAGTTGGGTAAATACCACAGCTGATTCATGACTTCACGGATCTTATAACCAAGCTGATAACCACACTCGCTTGAACGGATCGGTAAATACCAACCCAAAATGGTAAATACCATTTTCATTTAGTTATCCGCTTGAAATTGATTATTGATAGAACAATCTGTCAGGACCAAAATCATAGCGGCCATATTCTAGGCATTCCCCGTAATACGGTGCAGTACAAGCCAGTACTTTGGCCTCAGCATTGTGGCAGCACTGAGTAGAAAGGGCAACGCGAATAGAGATGTGCTCAAACTTCGATATATTCGATACCCCATGTAAAAGTTTTCCTGTTTATGAGCCGTTTTACACACAAGAGAATTACTCCGAAAATTATGCTGTCGTATTACACGTAAAACAATTCTTGTGAAAATTTTCATGGTAAAAATATAAAACTCGTTCTATAGAATATGCACGAGAATCGGCGCCAGAGGGTTGTGTCACTTAACATTTGTGGGTGTGGCCCTGTTCGAGTCCTAGGAAGAAGCGTCTCTTGTTATTGTATCAGATTGATTCAAATTCATTTTTTATAAATTAACCAAGATCTCGATTTCAAAAATAAATTTAAAACAACGACGTCTGTTGTCTTTCCGATTATATTGGACGTCATACCCGTTAAGGGTATGTCCATTCGAAATATTCGAAAATATTTCTCTAATGCGCAGGTGTATCATATGAATTACTGGGAAATTTTGTTTGCTTGTGTCATACTGGTTGTAGACAAAATCTTCAATATTTTTTCCATGCAAATTTTCAGCAGAATTATGACCATAATTTTCGGAGTAATCGTCTTGTGTGTAAAAGGGCTAACTAGTTAAATATAAACTATAATTCTTGCACCATCACAGAAAAAACATCAGATATTATTGACGTGAAAGTTTGACTAGGGACTAGACATGGATAATATACAGGGTGTTTCATCAGTTCAAGTATTTTAGAACCATGAGGATAAAGTTTTGAAAACCTTTTTATAATATCTATATTACTCTTAAAAATTTTAATAAAAATCGATACATGGCTAGAATGTATTAAGAAACAACTTTCTGATGTATACCTGTTTTTTCTTCTCCAGTGTTGTTCATGATGTGGGATTTGGGTTAAATACTTTTAAAGAAAAAAATAGTAATATTTTATAATTCTTATTAATTGCTGAGTAATAATTTGATATCTGCAGAGAAATGTTTCTTATTTATCTATTCAAAACAATAGTCGGAGGAGAGAAAATTAATATGCTGAAATCAACAGAAACATGTCAGTCATATGTCAAAGTCAGGGAGTAGGTATCCTGTTTTTTGAATAATTTTAGTTTTATAATTGATATACGAGTATGATTCAGGGTAATGTAACATCTGAAACTTTTCCTTAGGTTTTCATATTGATAATCCCGCACGTTTGTCTGGCCAATGAAATTACATATATTTGGAATTCTTCTTTAACGTATATGTTTCAGCCACAATGGTAACCATCTCCAGTACATGACACATTTGATAATATTTTATTTTTCTGTCTTCCAGGTGACACTTTGTTTTTCCTTTTCGAGATTACGTGAAGCCTTCATTCCAGCGATCAGATTTGCTTAGAAATTATTGTGGATTTAAAGAATAATTTTTATTCTAAAGGAAATCAGTGGAGTCAGTGTCTGCTAAAATAGGCAGGTGACATTAAGTACGAATGCCACTGATGGAAAAAATGTGGTACATTAAAAAATGCCTCATAATACACAGTATACGCGTTCAGTAAAATATCTAAACTGGTATTACAGATATATATATATATATATATATATATATATATAAAACCGTATTTCCCTATATCTCAAAAGTTAAGGGATACAACACAAGACATACGTTCATATGAAGTTTTGCTCTTAAAATGGATTACCACCTTAAATATTGGCATTCAAGTAGGAAATAACAATGTATGGCGCCTTTTTGAATACCGTAAAAAAATCAAAAGCATTCATATTTTTTTTAGGAAAATTATTGTTTCAAATGTTGGGCATCGCTGCAAGTCTATTTTGGCATTCCAATGTTTAATGACGCGTCCATAATAAATATAAAATAAATAAATCGCTTTGGTAAACCCGAATAATGCTGATTTCAAATTTCACAATCGTACTCTTTTATCCATGTAGACATGGTCCCAAAGGGAAAAGTCTAGAGGTGTTGAACCACTCTGGGCGACCCGAAACGAAAATTTAGCTATTCACCGAATTGTGGGAGTCTAAAGCCATGGTTTCATGAGCTATGCTCCAAGTGTGCCATGCCGTCTTGTTGAAGCCAAAGATTCTGAAGGTCAGGGATTCGAATATTTTAGGCAGCAAATCACGTGTTATCATGGCGCGATAAGGCCAGCCAAATACCCTTCGAAATGCTCGATGAGTCATCAAAAATTGGAATGATTCTTCGATAATAAAGATAACCTGATGAGGCTTATGGTATTTATATTTTTTTGCTTTAAAAAAAGTACCTTTAAATGAATCACCCGTTACATATCGTTGAAATAGGAATGATGAATCGTCAGATAAAAATCCTAATTTTCCGTTTATATCTGGAACTAATTCTGAATTCGAAACTTTTCAGATAATATTTAGGTAGTTAAATGTGCAACTTTGCATTCATTTTACCGATCTCACGTATTTCTTATAATTTCTATACTGAGAAATCCAAATATCACTCTTTCTAACATACGTGTTGCACGCTTTTCGCACTTATCTTTCGTACACATTACGACGTCAGTGGTATATGGATTTATCTGTATAGACTTTCAACATAGATTATTTCAAATGTGATTTTTTAGTTTGATGAGAACTCCTTGGATTTGGTCATATCATGTTTGAGTCTTCATTGGGTAAATGATTTACCAAGGGCGTTCAAAAGGATACTCAATTGCCTAAAGCAAGATGGAGTCCTACTTGCTGCTGTGTTTGGCGGTGACACACTCTACGAACTACGTTCCTCATTGCAACTGGCAGAGCTGGAGAGAAGAGGAGGACTGTCACCACACATATCACCGTTCACGGAAGTCAGGGATATCGGCAGTTTGCTCACTAGGGCGGGATTTAGTATGCTCACTATAGACACAGATGAGATCGTCGTCAAGTATCCCACGATTTTCGAATTGATGTGGGATTTGAAAGGTGAGTGGTATTTATTTTGTGTATTTTAGTGGCAAGGGTTATGGTGCACATGCATGACAGTGTGAACGTGATTTAGACCCGTATCGTCAGTCGTTCCTACAATTATAGGACGCCTTTATGGCCCCCTTGATTGTCATAGTTTTCTACTTTCCGTGTCAGCGCTCTATTTTGAGGTTATGTCACAAATATCTATTTGCATCAAATTGTGCATGCTTTTGAGTTACATCATGTTTTATCAGCCTGAAATTTCCTACAATTTAAAAAGAAAACATATCTTCACAATAGGAGAGTGCTGACGCTGACACAGAACAGGTGCAATCTAGAAATTTTTGAAGGAGAGAAATTAGTATGACAATCAAGGAGGCCATAAAGGCGTCCTACAATTGTAGGAACGACTGACGATACGGGCCTTAGTCGATATTTCGATCTCGAAATTGTCAATAAAATTCAGGTTGTTTGAAAATGCGTCTCTCTAATTTGAAAATTTCTCAATTTAGATAGAGACCATATTGAGATAGTGTTCTACCAATACCAGATTGACCTATTTCAATAGTAATGTTTTAGCATCACATGTGCAATGGTTTAACACCCGATTATGAACTCCTTCAACGTGCATACGTTGTCAAAAGACTAGTTTCAAATGGTTCCAAATTTGATTCTGATAGAACGCATTTTTCTGTTAAAAATTCTGTGTTTCTTTCCTGATTGTTAGGCCATTTAATTTTAGTTCCAGATAAACTAAATCCTTAAACTTGTTTGAATATCTTACTAATAAACAACAAATCGTTATATCAAATATATCTGATACATCAGAAAATAATGTTTCAGGTCCTGCGAATCACAAAAAGATGAGTGTTTGCTCATGATGTATGTACAGAATGTTTTCATCATCACTCGAATCGATATCTGAGATCCAATAGGATTCTGAACTTGAACTATAAGAATCTGATATGTTTGTGAACAATACAAACTGGTACACAGCAAGTTTTCTAAAAATGGTTATCTGGCTTCAATCTTTTCAATTGATACAATACAAAGTTGCAACGAAATTCAGAAAAACGCAAACTTCCCAACACAATTCAAAAACCATAACCCCATATTAAGACATCCATAACAAAACAAGATCTCGTGCGATCTGCGCATATCAGAAACTCCCAGTCCCGCTAAAATCATGTGTACTGTTTCGGCCGCCCGAAACCAGTTTTCAAACCAAAAATTCGTTTGCTGAAACAGCGAGCCGATAACACTGGTGAACAAAATTAAAATAATTTTTTGTGACATGGACAAAACAGTGTGGTTGTTATGTAAAGCGTACGCAAAAAGCCGTAAACGTAGCATTCGATCACCCACGATTTTCTTGCAATAAGGCATTTTATTTGCTGCTTATACTCGTAAAATATAAGGATATGTATGTAAGAGTACTAATAAACATTAATCTCAGAATGTTGTCGATGTTTTACGGCGATATGTTGCTCCTGAAGTATCTCTGAACAATGTCCAGCAATAATCAGCAAGCAAATTGACACTCCATTTGCCTTGATACCGTTTTTCCGTAGCAGAAATGTCTTGGTGGAACCGTTCACCATGTTAATCACTTACCGCACCTAAATTTTCATGTTACATCCCATTCCTTTATAAACATTAATTAGTTCACTCACAGTATATTTATAATCGTCCGCCTTCACATTGCCTAAAAAATTTCCAGTAACTGATTTAAAAGCATGCCAAGCTCATAATTCAGTTTAATTTAGAGCACTGTCAAATACACCATCCTTCATGATTTTCTGTTTTGTGGACCCACAAATATGCCCTTTTTAATTTTTGCCTCACTAAGTCTCGAAAATGTTTGTTACAAATGCAGAAACCCTCTTCCATTTCCATCGATAGCTTTTACAAAATGTTTCATTAGTCCCAACTGAATATGCAAAGGTGGAAGCAACACGTTTTTGGGATCAACTAGTGGTTCATGAGTAATGTTTTTGAGGGCTGGAGTTAATAACTGTCATAGTGGCCACTCCTTCTGTTCATAATGACGATCTCGCGCACGACTGTCCTATTCACAAAGAAAACAACAATATTTGGTATATCCCAGTTGCATTCCAAGAAAAAGGGCTATTAGCTTTAAATCTACACATATGCCCTATCCATATTCATTATAACGGATATGCTCTAACAGAACTCTGATTCCTTCATATGAACTGATTATTGCGCTGTAGGTACATATGGATATTTATTACCGTTGTGTACCAATACCGCTTTTAAACTAAGCTTAGAGAAATCAATGAACCGGCTCCAATCATTTGGATCATGTTTCTGTCCTAACGCGTCAAACAAATTGACATCGGAGCAATATATCAACTCCCTTTCTTGACGGAAACAGTGTGTGAGGTCTTGTTGCCGTTTTCGGTAAAAAGTAATGATAACATCACCGTGGAGAAGATTCTTCCATCCTTTTAATCTTGACGCTAAAAGTTCTGACTGGGATTTTGACAGATTTAATTCTCGCACTGTCATTATGTTCGCCTGTGTGATCAAATGCGGCGCTGTTGAACATCCTGGCAGGTCAGACGAAGGATCGGCAATCTTTACGCTGTCTGTACCATCGCTTTCAGGATCGGTGGATTCGACTTTTTCATCCTAAGACCAAGATTCTGGTGGAACTCCCAACTAACAATTATCACTCCTATTAGAGTTGCTAGAACGATTATACAGTCTTCCTTACACAGCATTGTATGCTGTAAGAACATTGGCAAAACGCTCTTAGAACAGCTATACAAGCGAAATGGGCACACCTAATAGGACACAGTCATTTAAGAGGCTGTATAAGGGCTGCAGGTAACAGTTATACAACAAAAGTGTAAACCTCTTGCAGCCGCTATATAACATTTGCGTCGGTGCAAGATTCAGTTTTTGTCAACTATACAAGTATTCTGTTACATGATTCTACTTTATTGCAACCAAACTATTTCTTATGTACCTATTGTATAGGCGATAACTAACACATTACAGTCATCTTGTTTACTTGCATATCGGCCATTGGGAATTTCATACTCAGGTATATGAGAAACTTCTACACGGTGATAGAGGACTATTGAATTACTTGCGCAGCAAATTTTATTGTGATTATCATGCAAAGTAGTTACGCAATTTGTACAGGCTTCGTATGTGATTCATATTTTAATAATGATCAAAAGTATGTTTAGATTTTTAAGATGAAAAACTGAACTAATCTGCGTTAAATCTTCCACAAATCCTATATTTAGACAACTACACTAATGTTTATCACTTTATATCTGTAATGTCGAACTGAAACATAATTAATTTTCAATAGAGGAATATATATTTGCCCAATATGGCGGGTATGTATAATCATGGCATCGTCCATGTTGTCTTTGGTTTATTAGAATATTTTGGTGTTGTCTACAAGTGTTATACAACAATTTGACAAATCTCTAAAATGATCTGGGACAGAAAGTTCATCACTATGCTTAACGGGCCGCAAAGATGATGGTAAATTAAAATACTTAACAGTATGTTTCGATTTTTGTCCAATACCTTTAATATTTGTGAGGCAAAAATAGCAATCAGCAGTATGGTCTCTCGGTTCTCTCCAAACCATTGGTACCGCAAAGGGCATTTTGCGATTGTCGCCTCTTAACCAACCTGTTAACAACGTTACACAAGTCGTACAACATATATGAAGGGCCCATAGTTTGTCTTGGTCGCCACCTTTAATCCCAAAATAAAGTTCGTACGCTTTCAACACAAGGGGAGTAAAATTACGTTTTTGGGATTTAAAAGTTAGCTCTACTCACACATAACAAAAACTGTTGGCACTATTTACACAATTTCTAGGCATTGTCCATAAAGCTAGTCTCAATAAACTAAAAACAACACACAAACAAAAATTAACAGTACTCAGAACATCTCAGTGCTCTTCAACACAGAAAACGTAACTGACTCGGCTGCTGTTAGTCTACTAATATGCTCTCTAAACATAGACCTCGCATATAATCAACCCTAATAGACAGGTCTTAAAATTATATATGTGCGTCAACGCATAAACGCCGAGAAATGCAGCAATATGAAATGTTACGTATTGTAATTCATAAAAGTAGATGTTACCGAATATGTGTGGGTGATAGAAAAATTCTGTTTTTAGATTTGATTTAAGGGTCTCAAAAATTTTCATGTCACAAATTCTGTGTTTATCAGTGTAATCCTCGACTAGGTTTTACCCTTGCATGAACATGTTCCATTTCAAACCGATAGGAAGTTACTTGTCATTGATGTCGGTACATAGGAGCGCCACAGATTTAAGACGACTCTTTTGATTATCGGATCTGTATTGACTACATCCCATCTCTATAAATCCCATTTTGGAAATTCCCTATGCGACAATGGCAGATAAAGGATATCCACCATTGCCATATATTATGAGACCATTTTCTCAAAAAAAACTTAAATAACCCTAGATAGATATTTAGACTCCATGAACTCTAGAATGCGGCTTTGGAATATTAGGCTGTAAATGGAGAATTCCATTCAAGCCTATTGAACCTGGCTTTAAAACTGTAGTTTCAAATATTAAAGCAGTACTTATGGTGGATGACTGATCAAATACCTACATATCATGAAGCTTTGCCCTGTTTTATCAAATATGATTTTTGTCAACAGGGATGGCCGAAAGTAATGCTGCTCTGAATAGATCACTGCATCTACATCGTGACACCCAGTTTGCTGCCGGCGCCATATACCAGCAGATGTACGGCTCCACGGATCCAGAAACAGGACAGGTTTCAATACCAGCAACATTTCAGGTAAGTTCGGATTATTTGACTTTTACTGGTTCACATTGCATCCTCATGATACATGTAAGTTTAAGAAAAGCTAGGCGACAATGGGCTATTTGAGGCGGAGAAAATACTTAAACTTCAGGATAGACAATTTTTAGTTTTTTGCAACCCCACTGTAACACTTCAACGACTATATGCCAAAACGTGTAAACTATTTAACACAATAATCAAGTGCTCAATGCGTGAAGTTTTAAGTAATTCTCGGTCCATCCATCACTATTTTGAAGGCAGCTACTTATGAGTTTGTATGTCAGATATATAAACAGCTCGGTATGGATAAATGTATCGCGGGCATCTTTTTTGACCTATCGGAGGCTTTCGATACAATTGACATTAGACTTCTCGAGGAAAAATTATTTTATTTAGTTTTAGGAGGTTTTATATTAGACTGGGTAGTGTCTGTCCGACAGGAAATTCAAAACAAAAGTTAATGGAATTACATCCGCAACGTACAGTATCGACATTGGCGTAGCGCAAGGCTCAGTTTTAGCACCCCTTGTATTCATTCTGTGCCAAGCAAATTGTTTGAGTTTAAACCTCGAAAAGTCAGATGTTGTACATTTTTATACAACCGCCCCTATGCTTGCAAATCATAAGACATCTAAAACTACGACATTCTTGGGAATAGAAATAAATGCAAAACTCAGTTGGCAACAACACATGGACAGTGTGTGTAAAAAGTTGAACCAATCCTATTATGCGATTCTTAAGCTCAAGTTTTGCTTATCAGACTCGGCTTTACTAGATGTATATTATGATCTCGCCCACTCACATTTATCAAGAAACATCATAATTTGGGGGCAATCAACTTCAATTTCTAGAGCATTTGTTCAATAGAAGAGAATAATCAGATTGATATTCAACATTCGTAGAAGAGAATCCTGCAGAGAGATCTTCAGAAGTAAGAACATCATGACTCTACCAAGCATTCATATTTATAAGTGCGCCCTTTTCACACATACAAAACAAAATGTATACAGGACAAAAACATCAACAAACATTATAATACAAGGGCAAGTGAGAGTCTAAGTATTCCAAGACACACACTGATGCTGTTCGAGACATCACCGGTATACACCTGCATCAGAATATATAACAAACTTTCAGCTAACCTCGGGAATGTCAGTAGTATCGCTAGTTTTAAATGTCAACTACAAAAATTATACCTCGCACTGTGATATGTTTTTAAAACTTTTTTTATATGTGGATGTCTGTACGCCTTAAGTTGTTCCTGTTTGTACTTTGTAAATACTTATGTTTATTTTGTTTTTACTTTTAATTAAGTGTACTATGTACCTCCCCCTTAGGACGAGTCTTATGTCATTTTATGATCTACAAGACAATAAATGTATCTATCTATCTCACCATTGGGATCTCGGAATCTGTAAGAGATACGAAGTTACTTAAATGGGGGCAAAGTTGCGTATTTATGTAATCAACAAAATGCCGTTTAGAAAGTTCAAAGTATTTCCGGAGCTAGATAAAAAAATTTTTTTTCCCATAATCGTTTTAGTTTTTTCTGACTTTCATTGTAATGAACTTTCAAAATGACTTGCACAGTTACATTGCCACTTTTTCTCCTCTACAAGGTGGCATAATTAGAATTTCAATATGACGTTTCGACTCTTTTTTTATGGACGCCATATTGGATTTTTGAACATATGAATAGAATTTTTAATTCCGATTCCAACTTAGTATAATACGCCAAACATTTCCATTGCCAAACCTTAGTTATTTAAAAAAATGCAAATTGTATTTATACCAAAATCATGTTTTTCCTACTATATTTATTATTTGAGGTGGGATTTATAAATAAATTGCTTGTTGTCATTGTTATTTATTCTCCTCTACAAGATGGTGCAGTCAAATTTGCAATTCGACATTTTTTCTTCAGACTTTTGGACGTTATATTAGAATTTTGTACATTTAAATGATCTTTTGAGTTCTGAATTCAGTGATGTCCAGTGGGAAAGTTCACTTTTTGATTTAAGAAAAAAATACGAACTTAATGAAAAGGAAATATTTATTACTATCAACAGATTCGTAAATTCGGCGGGTTTTATTTCTTAAATATCATTCCGTCCAAATTGTTTACCATCCCTTCGGACACACTCTTATAATCGCGCTTCACTTTCCTTTAAATCATGGACTGATGGGATTTTATAAGGATGAAAACCCATTTTTTTCTTCATTATGCCATGCAATGTTAACCTAGGGATTTTCAAAGCAGCGGAATGCTTCCATACAGGATCTGCAATAACCAAGTCACCTGAAGCACATTTTCTTTGGTTGCTACAGTATTTATGGGGCCAGGAAGTCAATCTGATAATTTCAAGGTCCACCTTGGAAATTCTGTTTTTCCGGAATATCTAAGAGTTGGCAATGTCACTGTATGGCATATTATACATTTTTGAAATCAGTATTAGAACTCTAAAAAATTAGGTTGATGCTGGAGAACATGAGATGAAACATGGTATTGGAATTCTAATTATGTCATCTTATGGAGGAAAAAAAGTGGCAATGTTAATATGCAATTTATTTTGAAAGCCCACTACAATTAATGCTAGTAAGAAATTAAAACGATTTTGGGAAAACTCAGTTTTCACCGTCTCTTTTTGGGACTACGTTCATAACTCTTACAGTTTTAGAGATCCCAATGTTGAGGGTCGAATTTGAAACACCCTGTATACCTACTCTTGAAACAGAGAAATCAAGTTCTGGAATTTCATTAGCACTTTGCTCAAGTGCTTACCAGTTAGAACCTGAAAAAAAATTCATAATCATTCTTTTCTTGCTTCAGATTATAAATATGCTTGGTTGGAAGCCTCATCCCAAACAACCAAAGCCTATAGAAAGAGGCACAGGAGAAGTTTCTTTGAAGGATTTGTATAAGATAGATGAGATAATAAAAGAAGTGAAAAAGATCAAGACTGATGATGAAAAAAAATGATTATAATTTTGTTGTATTACAAAAAGATAATATATATGTTACATATTTGTTAGTTACCCTTATAAATAAATATTGAGTTATTTGATTATTACTGTTTCCTCTTCCTGATCTATATTGGGGTATCCTGAAAGTTGGGGCTTTCCTTTTTCAAAAATTTCGCTTGAAATAACAGGTATTGTGTGGTGAAAAACTTAAAAGGAATAAATGAAAAAGTACTCGCTGCTCATATGCAGGGAAATTTCAAGTATGGCTCTGAAATGTTTAGTAGAAAGATCTACTGAACATTTACCATGCAAGCCCAAATTCAAAGAAAATATGTTTAAAATGTAACTGACGAGCTATGTATTTTCCATTAACCACACATGAGTAGTTCAAAAGTTATTCACACAGCCACTCACAAAAATGTACTCTTGCAGGAAAATTCTCACCTTGAATGAAAAGGTTCAAACCATTTGTCAGGCTTCAAGCCTTAGAGACTTATACTTGTCTAGCCACTCCCCAAGTGCTTGTTGAAGGATCTTGTCCTCCAAGATTCAATAGCCCTTCCTCAGTTTGCAGTTATCTAGGTCTCCCACTGTGCTCACCTACATATTCCTGAAAATGACCTATATCCCTAGCATGTTGCATGAGGTAAACAAATCTATGCAGCTAGAAATGATAATGAGGATTGGGGGATTAGAAGGGTGATTGAAGGGCATCTGCAAATTGAAAAAAAAACTGTGCCAAACTTTTTAAAACTTGGTTGGGGGGGTTCCCGAACACCCTCCTGACCTAAGTAGAGTACTGCCCTTGACCAAGGTGTAAGCATAGAACTGATAACTGAATTTTCATAAAATTCTCTTCTGAAGGGATACCAAAAATTAACAATACATTAACGAGTTTTCTTATGACACAAGTATGGGCATATTTCTGGGGGGCACCCTCCTGGATCTGCTGCCGCTGGCCAAATAGCATACTGCCCTTCACCAATGTGTAGTGTAAACACAAAACTGATAATTGAATTTTCATAAAATTCTTAAGAGATGCCAAATATTAACAATACATTGAGAATTTTCTTGAGGTACACAATATCTACATATTGTGAAACTTGTTCTTCAGTTTTGCCTGAAAAGTCCCTTGCTTGAACTGGTTGGCTTATGCTGAGGCTTGCACACTACATGAAAGGAAGAATAACCCTCTGTAATTGGAATTAAAACAGTAGTTATTTAAAAAGTTTTACTTTTAGTACTTTTGGAACATTCCTGATTGTTAAGGAAACTCTAGTTTTACGTTTCAACTTTACACCAGATATATACTTCTCCCCACAGTAGTCTAAATTCACAATGTCTTCAAGTACATCATCTTCTCTCTCAGAAATGGAATGCAGATATTTCGAATACAGCTCTTCCTTAATTATCACAAGACTTCTTTGTTCTAGTAGTATATCACAAACTTTTTTCCTAAGCTCACTATTTTCTTTGAATTCCAAAACAGTGTGAGAACCACAGGAGATTGTTGATATCGTAGGCTGAAACAGTGGTCCATCTGTGTGTGGCATTATGCCTTGGCCTGCCAGATACTCATTCACCAGAACTTGGTTTGTCTTTTTTCCATCAAAGATGTTCAATGCATCTATTTTGTCCATGTATGTTTGCAGCCATTTAGGAATGGGTTCAGGTAACATTCCTTTCTCATGGGGGACTCCTCCATAATCCTGCAGTCTTCTATTTGATAGGAAAGTCCACTTTGGTCTTGGTGCTGAGTAAACACTTTTTAATAAGTGACTTTCTTCATTTTCTGTTATAAAATTCGGAATGTAATACACTGTAGGTGGTGCACCTGTTACTCTATATTTTTCTATATCCATGAAAAAATTGGTAGACAAAGTTCACAAACATGAAGATTTTTTTTTTGTACTTACTTGATAGGTTATGTTTGCTGTTTTTAACTTATGTCACTGTGTCAAAAGACAAAAGCACCACACAAATGTCAACAAATAATTGGAAATATGCAAGCGATGCAAGTAAAAATAGCAGTTCATTCAACAACTTATATTCTTGTTTCTATTAATAATCTATAGATAAGTAATTAAAATATGTAATCATTTGGAGGGTACACGTTAATACTACCGACCATGCTTGTTCTTAAACTCCTCTAGCATCCTAACATTATCTACATTTTCTTTCCAGATTTTATTTCTTTCAGTTTTCATATCACCCATCCAGTTTTCTCTGAAACATGAACTCATGTGAACATAGGCTGAGATGACTGTATTGAAATGAATTCACTTTTCATACCTATACAGAAAACCTATACCAATAAACGACAAGATTCCTGTTATTAATAGTGGAAATCTCAAATAGGCTTGCGTAGATCTACTCATTTCAAAAGATATTTACATTCATAAATTATCTTTTGGACTATATATTTAAAAGTTCTTTTGAAAGTGAAAGGTTACACGTGACATAACCCCAAGGACATTTTGCGGTGACAGAAATTTAATTTAAGCGGATAACCAAGTGAAAATGGTATTTACCATTTTGGATTGGTATTTACCGATCCGTTCAAACGAGTGTGGTTATCAGTTTGGTTATAAAATCCGTGACGTCATGAATCAGGTGTTATAATATGTCATTTCATCCACCGCAAAATTGTGGTATGTACCCAACTCAGGAGTAGTTTTATATTTCTGGTTATTATTTGACACGTGACAAGTTAGAATTTTGCCGTGTATTGGATATTTTTATTGGTAATTGTACTTCAGCTTCATTTTTGGGAAACTTCATACAGGCTGACTTCAGTTTTAGCATAAGAGAGCACCTTATTATTTATAATCACTACTGTTGTTGGGGATACTTTAAATCTAGTTCCTACGCTTAACAAAGTATCCTGTATAGCCATATACCACAAGAATATTAGAATATGGCCATATAAACTCACTGGATAATGCCCACCGGTATATGGTTTTGTTAATATTTTTTTCATCGCTTTTTCATCATTTCTGATAAATCAATTAATATTTTCCTTGACATGCGGAAAAGTTTAGAGAATTGAAAGTTATGATAGGTACAAAGCCATGGTTCCATCAGTAAACATTATTTTCTGAAAAAAAAAAAATATTCCTCCCATTAATATTATGAAAATTTTCTTTTTTTCAACTTTCCATACCCAGTTGTAGAGGAAAAAGCACGGATTATTAAGTCATAATAAAAATAATCAGAAATTATATACGCGCTTTTCTAAAATAAACAACTTGCAACAAACCGCGGTTAAAACCAACGCGTTCAAGCGATTCGCGTAACTGGCGTCATCAACCCGTGTGTCATCTTGAATCATATAAGCGCCGTACATAAATCAAATCCAAGCGAATAACCAAAATTTCTGTGTTATGTGCCGCGGTTATAATATGGTTCAAGATGACACACGGGTTGATGACGTCAGTTACACGAATCGCTTGAACGCGTTGGTTTTAACCGCGGTTTTGTTGCAAGTTGTTCATTTTAGAAAAGCGCGTATATAATCTCTGATTATTTTTATTAGCACTTAATAATCGGTGCTTTTTAGTCTACAACTGTATATGGAAAGTTTAAATAAGAAACCTTTCATAATATTCATGGGAGAAATGTTTTTTTCAGATCTTTTTTTTAATGATGGAACCATGGCTTTGTAGCTATGATAACTTTCAATTCTCTAAATTTTTCCGCATGTCAAAGAAAACATTTATTGATTCAGCAGAAATGATGAAAAAAGAAATTAGCAAAACCGTATACAGGTGGATATCATCTAGTGAGTTTATATGGCCATATTTTAATATTCTTGTGGTATATGGCTACACAGGATACTTTGTTAAGCATAGGAACTACATTTAAAGTGTCTCCAACAACCGTAATGAGTATAACTAATAAGGTGCTCCACTTTATGGTAAAACTGAAGTCAGCCTGTATCATTTTTCTCAAAAATGAAGCTGAAGTACAATAACAATATCCAATACCTGGCAAAATTCTAACTTGTCACACTTCAAATAATAGCCAGAAATATAAAACTACTCTTGAGTTGGTAAATACCACAATTTTGCGGTGATAAATATGACATATAACAGCTGATTCGTGACGTCACGGATCTTATAACCAAACTGATAACTACACTCGCTTGAACGGATTGGTAAATACCAACCCAAAATGGTAAATACCATTTCCATTTGGTTATCCGCTTGAATTTGATTATAATACGGTAATTTTGGTTATTCGCTTGGAGTTGATTAATGACTTGTATAGCAGTGTTGCCAGATTGATATTTCCCTCAACAGTAGGACGGACCAAAAAAACAAATGTACCTATCCCCCCAACAGTAGATCTTAATAAATAAAACTTTATACACAGAAAGAAAACTGAATAAAACATACTTGTAAGTAAATAAATTTTAATTTATTTTATTTTAAATTTTAATGATGATATACTTGTATGCGGGATAAATCTTATTAACCAAACATTAGATTTAACTTTGTTATCTATATACAGGCCCCCGAACATCAATTCAACAGCTGGTGATTGGGACACAATCTTCTCTAATACCAGCATATCTTCTATTATTGGTGGAGACTTTAATGCACACTCTCATCTCTGGGGATCCTCATTTAATAATTCCATAGGTTATCAGTTAATAAATATATGCGAATCAAAGAATTTAGTCGTTATGAATGATGGTTCGCCTACTAGGCTTGTAGCTCCAAATCAGCAAGTAACTGCTCCAGATGTTACAATCTGCTCCCGAGATATTGCACAAATAAGTCATTGGCAACTTACTTCTGATACATTAGGTTCGGACCATTTTCCTATTCTTATGTTTATTCCTCTATCTTTCCAAGTATATGACACAATCTATCCTAAGTATAAGTGGAATATGAAAAAAGCCAATTGGTGTTTGTATCATGACTTATTGGAAGATATTTTCGATTCTACTCCAGAATTTTACTCCACTCAAAGTAAATACGATTATCTCATTGAAAAGATCAGTGATGTTAGCGAGATCTCCATCCCTATACTAAGGCCATTTAAAGCTAAGAAACGGCCACCCCCTCCTTGGTGGGATGAACAGTGTATAAGTGCCATAGCACAAAGGACCTCAGCTTTAGCAACGTACAAACAGGACAGTTCTTTAGCCAACTTCGTCCACTGCAAGAAGGTATTTGCTGAAACAAAGAAACTCTTCAAACAAAAATCAAAAAATAGCTGGAAAGCATGGATATCTAAGTTGAATAAAAATACGTCATCAACCGATCTCTGGAAACAGGCTAAAATCATCAGAAGGATACCCATGGGAAAGAAAGCATCAACTAATTCTGATTGGGCAGACGACTTCCATAGAAAATGCTCTCCGTCCTTCGTGGCTGCAGAAGTCGAACCTCCCCCACGTTTACATCAAGACAACTTTTTCAGCAGACCTTTCAACATGACGGAACTAAATCTTGCAGTTAAAAATACCAGAAACACATCACCTGGCTGCGATGATATCACATATCCAATGCTCGTGAACCTCCCATCTAATGCAAAACTATTCCTTCTGGATATATTTAACAACATTTGGCTGAATGCAGACACAATTAGCCAATGGAAAAACATCGTTATAGTTCCAATTTTGAAGCCAAACATGGATCCCAATTGCGCTGACTCATATCGCCCGATATCTCTTTTATCCTGCGTCATGAAGACTTTTGAAAGATTGATCAAAAATCGCCTGGAATGGTGGTTTAGATCTCATCCACTTCCTAACAACCAATATGCCTTCAAGAAAGGAGTTGGAACAGCAGACGCTATTACGAATATTGTCACCGACATTCAGATGTGTTTCACGCGAAACAACTACTTAGCAGGCATCTTCATAGACATTACAGGTGCATATGACAACATCAATTTAAACATACTTCGAAACAAACTGGAAAAATTTGGCATCCCACCTCACTTTAGTTTTACTGTAACAAACCTATACCGTGATAGGAATATTTTTCTACGCAACGACAGTGGCGGAAAGATTGGACCACGACTAGTACAGGAAGGTATCCCACAGGGCGCAGTTTTAAGCCCAATTTTATTCAATATCTTTTCGGCAGACTTACATGATGTGCAAACCCCATGTCAGCTGGTCCAGTATGCAGACGATATTTGTGTATATATAGAGAACCGTCAACTTAATCAATGTGTATCTACGCTAAATTCTTCAATGGAACACTACAAACAGTGGCTAATGGAACATGGTTTCGACATATCGTTGAAAAAATCATCCTTTTGCGTTTTCTCACGACACAATGTATCATTACAGAGGAACATACTACTGGGAGGGTTATCCTTCAAAGTTGAAACTTCTGTCAAATATCTCGGCGTAATCCTTGACAAAAAGCTCACATGGAAGCCGTATATCGAACAAGTAGTCAGTAGATGTGAGAAAGCCTTCAATTTTTTCCAGATGATCTGCAAGGTATGGTGGGGCTCCGATCAAAAGATCGCAATATTATTCTTCAGATCATATGTTAGATCTATCCTTGATTATGGCAGCATATTCTATGGCTCTGCCAGTAAAAATCTCCTTCATGTGCTAGATATAACTCAGAATAAATTTCTCAGGAAATGTCTTGGAGCAATGCAATCGTCACCAGTCGGACCTTTGCGAGCAGAAGCACAGGAGCCTCCTTTACATCTTCGAAGGCAAATGTTATCTAGCAGATTTCTACTTAAGGTACAACACGCGGACAGCCACTTACTCAGCAAAATTCATCGTCTAAACACCATGGACTTGACATGCAAATATTGGACCAAAAGAAACTCTCCGCCTCTATGCAGTGCCATACAATATGCCAACAGAATACAACTAACCTCTCATAGCCAACGATTGATCCAAGATATAAGTTACTTTCATTTACTATCAGGATTTGATGTTAGAGTACCAGCTTACAAGCAACAACCACACCACATTCAGAACCTACTTCGAGAAGTGCAGAGTAAATTAGCAGGTGATGTATTCATTTACACCGATGCATCGAAGTCGGAGTCAGGAACGGGATGCGCTCATTATATTCCTTCAATAGATATTTTTTCCATGTTTAAACTACCAAATGAATTCACGATTTTTTCTGCAGAAGCTATTGCTATATTCCAGGCCCTACAGTTTGTAGAGGACCACAATCTTGGTAACACGTCTATATTCTCGGACTCCCTCTCTGTTGTCAGTAGTTTAAAAAACGGCAGTCCTTTCGATATGCAAAATATACACTTATTCAACATAAGATGGAAAATAAGTCAGCTAAAACAACGAGGCCTCAGGATTACACTAGTTTGGGTGAAGGCCCACTCTGGGATAATACACAACGAAAAAGCTGACGATCTAGCAAAGATGAGTATAACATCTGGAACTAAGCTGGACATACCCTTAAGCATGCAAGACAATCGAGTGATACTTAAAGGTAATTTGCTCAAGCGATGGCGCAGTGAATGGATAGAATACTGTTTTACTAATCCTACAAGATACAACCTCATACACCCTAGCCTGCCACGAGGATACTGGCACGAAAATTTCAAAATACCCAGAAAATATATTTCTTGCATCACCCGTGCGAAAATAGGACATGGTGTTTTTCCATCACACCTTGCAAGATTAAATTTGGTCCCATCTGCACTGTGCGATGTTTGTGAAGTTTATGGTGACTTGGATCACTGTTTCTTTGGTTCTGCCCCCCTAAATACATCTCATGTATTTTCGCTAGGTAGATCTGATGTGATCATTCTCGTTGTTAAATTTATCAGAAATTCTGGCATCAAAATATAACAATCGTATTTTAGTTATCCTCTATTTTTTGTACCTTTATGTATAAATATATCCTTCATATCCGTGGCCTAATTGTTGTATGTGAAAAATGAAAAATGCCCTGACGGGTCCCTGGGCGAGAAGAACGTGTGTCCCTGTCTGACCCATCCTCTCTCCTCCCCCTTAGAGTTGCATAGGTTTAATATGTAGTTATGGTATCCTTTAGACACTAATGTCATCTGAAAATTTGTGTGTAATGCTTAACCCCCGCCCCCTCCTGATAACACTTTCTTAGTTCTTCTATATTTACTTTTTTGTTTTTCATCCAGAGTGGAGAGTGTGCATTAGAAGAAATTTAATAATCATTTTCTCCATACTGTTTGTTAAGTACTTGCTCCTTCGCCCAAATACGACTGTGCCACCAAAATGTCTTTCCTGCAATACCCTGATAGCTGAGGGGATCTGCTTGCTACGTCATTGCCATTTTACACGTCTTAAATTATATATGTCTGTATGATATAATAGATAAATACTTGATTCTGGCTAATGGGGCAATGTCCTAGTGCCAAAGAAAAAAAAAAAAAAAGTAAATAAATATCACGTTCTTTGGTGGAAAACATAAAATATCACATAAGGACAGCCAAATAATAATATAACAATAATATATAAAAATAAAAATAAACTTTGGCGAAAAAACTAATAAACACTATTTTTTCCAAATTAAAATAATTATAATATACAATAATAAATATAAACTTTGGCGATAAAACTAGAAAATACTAATCATTCTGAATCTGAATCAGTCAGTTCGGAGTTTTCCATACACATCTCCGAAATATGTATCTTGAACAGCCCTCCAGAACCAAAAGAATGGCGATCGAAAATGAGCTAATACCTAGGAGGAATTGAAAAATAAACTGATTACTCGTTCATCTTCGACTTTCAAACAGATCAGTCATCACAATTCAAAAACTGACACCTATGACATCATATAACCAAAAAGTAGTTGAACGAAGTAAGCCTTGCAAAAGTAGTTGAACGAAGTAAGCCTAACAATACACGTAACGTATACACAAATGAATAATCGGATTATCGCATGGGATGCCCCGACGGATTTGCCATCTGTGAGTGATGCTAGCGCTTTGTTTGGTAAAAGTAAAACGTGATTCACCTAGTTTAACATCAGTTAAATAGATGGCGAGACCGATGTCTCTAGCTATTTTTAGGTTTTTCTAGGAGTGGCAGGTGACAAGTATAAAAAACGTATTGTCGTAATAACAGAAGATTTTATAGTGACAACAGAACAGTAGCATCGAGGTAAACAGAGTAGATCTCCTGTTAAAACAGGAGATCTGGTAACACCATAGACTACCAAACACAGCTGTGTTTAGTAGTCGATGGGTAACACTGTTGTACAGTGACCAATGGTGACCAATATTTGCCTATAGAATCTGAACGCATCACAAGCCAAGCTCAAGATAGAGATGGTACATTTTATCGATATTCGATGGAGCGAGCCGGCGGGATATGGCTGTCGCCATAAATCAAATCCAAGCGAATAACCAAAATTTCTGTGTTATGTGCCGCGGTTATAATATGGTTCAAGATGACACCCGGGTTGATGACGTCAGTTACACGAATCGCTTGAACGCGTTGGTTTTAACCGCGGTTTTGTTGCAAGTTGTTTATTTTAGGAAAGTGCGTATATTATTACTTAATAAATGGTGCTTTTTTTGTCTACAACGGTGTATGGAAAGTTTAAATAAGAAACCTTTCATAATATTTATGGGAGAAATGTTTTTTTTTCATAAAATTTTTTTAATGATGGAACCATGGTTTTGTAGCTATGATAACTTTCAATTCACAAAAGTTTTCCGCATGTCAAAGAAAACATTTATTGATTTAGCAGAAATGATGAAAAAAGATATCAGCAAAACCGTATACAGGTGGACATCATCCAGTGAGTTAAATGGCCATATTTTAATATTCTTGTGGTATATGGCTACACAGGATACTTTGTTAAACATAGGAACTAGATTGAAAGTGTCCCCAACAACAGTAATGAGTATAACTAATAAGGTGCTCCACTTTATGCTAACACTGAAGTCAGCCTGTATCAAGTTTCTCAAAAATGAAGCTGAAGTACAATAACAATATCCAACACCCGGCAAAATTCTAACTTTTCACATTTCAAATAATAACCAGAAATATAAAACTACTCATGAGTAATCAAATTCAAGCGGATAACCAAATGGAAATGGTATTTACCATTTTGGGTTGGTATTTACCAATCCGTTCAAGCGAGTGTAGTTATCAGTTTGGTTATAAGATCCGTGACGTCACAAATCAGCTGTTATATGTCATAGTTATCACCGAAAAATTGTGGTATTTACCCAACTCAAAAGTAGTTTTATATTTCTGGTTATTATTTGAAATGTGACAAGTTAGAATTTTGCCGGGTATTGGATATTGTTATTGTACTTCAGCTTCATTTTTGAGAAAAATGATACAGGCTGACTTCAGTTTTACCATAAAGTGGAGCACCTTATTAGTTATACTCATTACGGTTGTTGGGGGCACTTTAAATGTAGTTCCTATGCTTAACAAAGTATCCTGTGTAGCCACATACCACAAGAATATTAAAATATGGCCATATAAACTCACTAGATGATATCCACCTGTATACGGTTTTGCTAATTTCTTTTTTCATCATTTCTGCTGAATCAATAAAGGTTTTCTTTGACATGCGGAAAAATTTAGAGAATTGAAAGTTATCATAGCCACAAAGCCATGGTTCCATCATTAAAAAAGAAATCTGAAAAAAACGTTTCTCCCATGAATATTATGAAAGGTTTCTTATTTAAACTTTCCATATACAGTTGTAGACGAAAAAGCACCGATTATTAAGTGATAATAAAAATAATCAGAGATTATATACGCGCTTTTCTAAAATAAACAACTTGCAACAAAACCGCGGTTAAAACCAACGCGTTCAAGCGATTCGTGTAACTGACGTCATCAACCCGTGTGTCGTCTTGAACCATATTATAACCGCGACACATAACACAGAAATTTTGGTTATTCGCTTGGATTTGATTAGTGTGGCAAATACCACAATTTTGCGGTGATTACTGTGATTTATAACAGCTGATTCATGACGTCACGGATCATATAACCAAACTGATAACCACACTCGCTTGAACGGATCGGTAAATACCAACCCAAAATGGTAAATACCATTTTCATTTGGTTATCCGCTTGAATTTGATTATAATCTGTGGTTACGTCGTCACGTGCTTTAAAAATAGCGTCAATAAGAATGTAAACAAACATTTGAATATTCAAAAAAATGTTTTTGAGACAGAATTTCCTGCCAAAAAACCTCAGGGACACAGCTGTAACAACTTTCACGTTCACAGTAATTCCGTTGATGTATTATTTTGAACTATTTGTGGTGTTGCCACGATACTATGAGCAATGGAGTCCAGCCTACAACTTTCATTTCACCATTGGAACTTTCATGTTATTCAATATATGCTCGAATTTGGTTGCCATAATGCTATGTGATACCAGCATTAAAGGAAGAGTTATACCGGCAGAAATAAATCCCGACTGGAGATATTGCACTGTGTGTGAAACGATAGCTCCTCCAAGATCATGGCACTGTGAAATCTGCAACATTTGTATCTTGAAGAAGGACCATCACTGTATCTTCACTGGTTGCTGTATAGGGCACGATAACCATAGGTATTTTTTAATGTTTGTATTGTACATGTTTGTATCTACAGTTTATGCATCTTGTTATAATGTCCAGTTTCTAATAGAATTCTTTCCATATTCCTCATGGAAGAGTTTTCTGAAGTTAGTGTTTCCTCTGGCTATGCTGTTTATGGAATGGACAAAACTTCAGGTTTATATATTGTGTATCCTGATTGTAACATTTGGGGGACTATTTACAGGTGTTTTGTCATACTACCACATAGATTTGATGTTGAGAGGGACTGTAACACACGAAAAGAAAGATAAGCGTAAATATGATAGGGGGAAGTTAGAGAATACCAAAAGTGTTCTAGGAGAAAGATGGTATTTAACATGGATTTGTCCATGGATTGAAAGCAAATTGCCTTGTGATGGAGTGCATTGGGATTCTAGTCTTTCTCCAAAAGTCCAGTAAGATGTCCAATATATACAGAAATATTTTGGGAATTGCCTTGTTCATTTCTCTGAGAGTACAGTCTGAAGATCATCTCACAAATTTTCTTTTTTAAATATATACCTAGTATTCCTGTTCTGTAAGTTATATAATAATTCATTATTCATACTAATTGCTTGGTCTTTATAACACAACTACCAAGTGCAACCCAGTTATTTTAAGTCATGTTTTCTTCTTTCTTTCAGTTGAGCATTGTGCAAAGAATTAAGTAAGGTATTGTTATATCAGCTCACAATAATTAAAAGCTCAACTGTGTTTTTCTTGTGATATACTGTATTAAAAAAATTATTGATTATTGCTTCTATAAATGTATATTGGGGTTTCCTGTATTTAAGTATTTTTCTCTTTCAAATGTAAGTTCTGGATCCTCTTTTCTAACATTTGCACAACATGTCAATTATCAGTAGGAAACTGATAACTGAATGTGTATGTCCACTTAGTTTCATTCTGAGTTTTGCTATCTGTACTTACAACTACCAACATAATTTATATATGAATTAAATATTTTGTTAAAATATCTGTAAGTGGTATTTACAAATATTAACAGGATACATGTGTCTTATGGTGTACATATTTTTCTCATAATGTATGTGGTCTTATGTGTAAAAGCATTTGATAATTGTATTTTTGATGTTGATAATAAAATATTGAGTAGGTACTTTCAAATATGTTTATTTTGTTGTAAATATATAAAATTTTCGTTATAAATGGCACTTAAGTGTAATGAGATAGATGAAAATGTCATGTAATAAATAACACATTCCGTTTTGATATCTGAGATAAAAATAAACGTTTTCCAATCAATATATGCAATGCTATAAATTTTTATAAAATGTCCTATAAAGGTAACTTAAAATTATAACTACTCTGTCACAAATCACATCACAATAGTTTCTGATTTTATTCATGGACTACTTATAAGGAAATTGCTTATTTTACCATTCTGAACAATATCATAAAACAAATTGAAGAATGTACCCCTGCTCGTGTTTTATTATCAGAAATAAACTAACTAAACTACAATTTATTTATGTTTAAAATACAGCTTCTTCTGTTCCATTATTCCTGGCAGTGTTTGGTGACCTCAGTTGGAGAATTTGAAGAAGATTAGTCTTCTCCCTTTCTAGCGCTGCAATCCTTTCACTCTTCTTGCTTACCTCCTAAAATGGAAAAAAATAGTCACATTCTCGTCAGTATATAGTTTTATAGAGGGAACTTATTACTTTTCAGAACAGGCATTTTTGTCTAGAGTGTATAGGCATGGTGATATAAGTGTAAGTCTTCTATAAACTGTGCGAGTATAATGATCAAAATATTGCTCAACTTATTTTGATCATACAGTGGTCTAAAAGAAGAGTACCTAATAAGCAGAATTGAGAAGGCCTAAGAAATCCAAAATCGCTATTAAACTACCTAAATTTTTGTTGATAGATTTCAGATTAAAGCGGACTTTTACTTCATTTCTTGATATTCTTGTAATGGGTAATTTCGAACAAACACTGATGCGATTGTTAAACTTTTGAGAAGAAATACAAAACAAACAGGCAATGGATGAAATAAGCACTGTCGCCCCCACATCAATTGAGATCAATCCAGCCTTTTGCGTCAAAGGGGGTCATTCAGTCCCAATTGTGGATTTAAGATGCTGTCTAGAGGGGAACGGGCGCAGTGGTCGTCGCATGATTCATGTTCACGAAGACGTTAGTCTCCGGATCCGTCCTTGATTGAAAATTTTGCGCTCCCCGTTACACTAAGCCCTGCCAGGGACAGATCTAGAAAATATTTCAGTATTGATGCATTCGAGTACTTCATTGAGCATGCCTTGAATATGTGCAGATAGGTTTTTGTGTCTTATAGAGATTGAAAACAACAAATAGTCCAGGAAGTATCTTCGCAACCTTTTGGAAAAGTATTCTGATTCGGATTTTTTGCAAGATCTTATTCAAAAAGAGAGCTTTTAACGAACCTACCAGATTCAAAATTGTGTTAAAATTTGTTTCCTAAACGAATTCCAAGAATTGGTTTTTCGTTCTGAATTAGTTTTTTTTTGCCATTCTGAACAAAGATTCTATGAACAATCTTGTAAAGTGGTACATTTTTAATTTTTTTTAACCTCGTAACAGTTCGTAAATATCGTTCAAACACCCAATCACTAAATCCCAAAGTGTTGTTGTGGTTATTGTTATTGTGAAACTTCGTTTTTTTCATTTGTCGCATCCGCTGTATATTAACGATTAAAAAACTTAGGATTACAATAACAATAGTACATAAAATGCTTTGAGATTTAATTATTGAGTGTTTGAAGAATATTTAGGTACTATTGCTGTAGTAGAATTTTTGTTTTTACTTCCCACACTTCTGGTGGGAAAATAGTAAAGGGAAATTACGAAAATATATATATATATATATATATATATATATATGTATATATATAGGTGAAAAATTAAAGCTTCCGCCTTTTGTTGGGTACTTCGACAAAATTTAAGCAAAGAGGACTCTTTATACTTTTTTTAATTCTCTCTAGCTTTCAATGGACTTTGCCATCATCATCAGGAGCTGCAATTACAATGATAACAGTAGCAACAAAAGTGTAAAATGAATTTAAATTGACTCAACTTACAGTAGTATGTGAGGATGTTGCTAATTGTTGTTTACGTATAGGATGAGGGAAACGTCCAGTAACATGGTGAGAGCTGGATAGATTGTACAATGGTCAAAATTATATAAAATATGACAAGAACAAGTTAAAAACAGATTAAAAATTATTTAAAAAACATTAGAGCATTACATCGTGAAGACGTGAAGCCACTTGATGATTGCACAAATTAGTGGTCATGGAATAATGAGTGAGATGACACCCTTTTGACAGAAGGCCGAAGGATGTCAATGTCTGTGTTGAAAGATGGAACGAATTGTGGGCGTGTGCCAAACGTTGCCAAATCACTTCAGATGATGTGATTTTCAGAATTTTATGTAAGAATTTCTTAAACCGACCAGAGGCAGTTGAATAAACTATATTTTAATTAATGGGAATTTAAATTAACAATTATTAATAAATCGTGAGAAGAGAATTATTATATTTTGAGTGGAATGAAATTTACTGGTGGAATCGGCCAAAACACAGATTCTAATTATGGTTGTGAAGAGTCGAAATTTGGGGAGATATGTAAGTTCTCCAATTTTTCGCAGTTTAGCAAATATGAGTAAATGACACTCAGTTGTTTAACATCTGTCTTTTTGTTGATACAGTTGTTATTCATGAAGATGTGGGACATTTCCAGGAATAAACGTTTGGAAAGGTGTTTTTCTTTATCAAGAACTTTGATACTTGTGTAATTCATAGAATGCCCTGTTGTGTTAACATGAGATGCTAGAGCGCATCTTTCAGGATGAAGCCTAGCATCACTTTTGTGTGATGTAATCCTTCCTTTAAGAGATCTGGAGGTCTGACCTATGCATATTTGGTTGCAGTTGTTGCAATTGATGGAGTAGACTGTGTTGGTTAAGCCAAGCAGCGGGACTTTGTCTTTCATTTTTGAAAAAATGCAGTTTATAGTGAGGACGGATTTGCAAGCAATTCGAAAGTTCAAAGGACTGCACAATCTGATCAGCTTAGGGGTCAGTTCCTTGATATAGGGCAGGACAGCAAAACCAGGTCTGGAGTCCGGGTTGGTGCTTGTACTGTTGGGATTGATGTTATTATTGGGAATTACATCAGTTCCGTTATAAGTCAACACTGCAACATATCTCTAGAATCTTTCACCAACATTATAACATTCCTTTTTCATAACAATTATTTCTCTTTCAACAACAAAATATATTCTCAAACACATGGTTGTCCTATGGGATCTGTTCTGTCACCAATTTTGGCAGAATATGTCATGGATGATCTGCTTGATACTGTTATTCCGACACTACCCTATAACCTCTTCTTCATAAAAAAATACGTAGATGACATTATTTTATGCCTCCCTTCCATAGGTCTGGATGGTATTGTCAGAGAATTCAACAGCTATGACCCCTACATCCAATTTACCATTGAAAAAGAAGATGAGAACCTGTCTGTCCCCTTTCTAGACACAAGACTCATTCGCACCAACAACAACAGCTTATTGGTAGACTGGTACCAGAAACCTATGGCCTCAGGTCGGTTTCTCAATTTTAGGTCATACCATAAGCTAGGGATTAAAATCAATTTGGTAAAACAGATGAAAACAAGAGTAATCAGCATCTCAGATAATACCTTCCACACCTCAAATTTACGTAAACTATCAAAACTGTTCATCAATAATGGTTATCCGAAGTGTCTGATTAACAAGATCTTATTTAGTTCACCTTCCAATATTTTGCCGAACTCTGGTGATGCAGGTAATAGTCGCACAACCCCTAATAACGGAACTGATGTAATGTAATGAATGTAAATAATAATAACATCAATCCCAACAGTACAAGCACCAACCCGGACTCCAGACCTGGTTTTGCTGTCCTGCCCTATATCAAGGAACTGACCCCTAAGCTGATCAGATTGTGCAGTCCTTTGAACTTTCGAATTGCTTGCAAATCCGTCCTCACTATAAACTGCATTTTTTCAAAAATGAAAGACAAAGTCCCGCTGCTTGGCTTAACCAACACAGTCTACTCCATCAATTGCAACAACTGCAACCAAATATACATAGGTCAGACCTCCAGATCTCTTAAAGGAAGGATTACATCACACAAAAGTGATGCTAGGCTTCATCCTGAAAGATGCGCTCTAGCATCTCATGTTAACACAACAGGGTGTTCTATGAATTACACAAGTATCAAAGTTCTTGATAAAGAAAAACACCTTTCCAAACGTTTATTCCTGGAAATGTCCCACATCTTCATGAATAACAACTGTATCAACAAAAAGACAGATGTTAAACAAGTGAGTGTCATTTACTCATATTTGCTAAACTGCGAAAAATTGGAGAACTTACATATCTCCCCAAATTTCGACTCTTCACAACCATAATTAGAATCTGTGTTTTGGCCGATTCCACCAGTAAATTTCATTCCACTCAAAATATAATAATTCTCTTCTCACGATTTATTAATAATTGTTAATTTAAATTCCCATTAATTAAAATATAGTTTATTCAACTGCCTCTGGTCGGTTTAACAAATTCTTACATAAAATTCTGAAAATCACATCATCTGAAGTGATTTGGCAACGTTTGGCACACGCCCACAATTCGTTCCATCTTTCAACACAGACATTGACATCCTTCGGCCTTCTGTCAAAAGGGTGTCATCTCACTCATTATTCCATGACCACTAATTTGTGCAATCATCAAGTGGCTTCACGTCTTCACGATGTAATGCTCTAATGTTTTTTAAATAATTTTTAATCTGTTTTTAACTTGTTCTTGTCATATTTTATATAATTTTGACCATTGTACAATCTATCCAGTTCTCACCATGTTACTGGACGTTTCCCTCATCCTATACGTAAACAACAATTAGCAACATCCTCACATACTACTGTAAGTTGAGTCAATTTAAATTCATTTTACACTTTTGTTGCTACTATTATCATTGTAATTGCAGCTCCTGATGATGATGGCAAAGTCCATTGAAAGCTAGAGAGAATTAAAAAAAGTATAAAGAGTCCTCTTTGCTTAAATTTTGTCGGAAGTACCCAACAAAAGGCGGAAGCTTTAATTTTTCACCTAACTGGTCTAGACGACAATGACCACGTCTCAAGTTATATATATATATATGATATAATTTTTTTTGGGATGCTATATGACATATAATCACGAAAAACCATCTATGTCTGTCCGCTAATCCTTGGACCGACTATAACGTCGAAAGTAGTAGTTTTTGAAAATCTATCTACTTACTGACAGTGCTGCTAGCGGCGAATATACGAAAAAATAGCGGCTAGCGCAGAGTCAACATACGCGTTTTGTTTTTCATATGGTTTTTCGGTTCGAAAATTGCATGTTTTGCACTTTTTTAAATATTAAATTGCTTATATCTCAAAAAATATCAACTTAAGAGAATGGTATGACCCACAAACTTTTAATAAAAATGTCCTGAGTGAAAAAATAGTTTCGAAAGCATTGTTAAATCTATTTATTTTTGATGTAATTTTGGCACTGGCAACATTCATATTCGTTGAAAGGGGTTCCATAAGATTACGCAAAGAAACGAATTAGAATATTTTGAAAATGGATGCAAAGTTACTTCCTGGATTAAAATATAATTCGCCACCACCTACATAATACCAGCCTCGAAACTCTCCATGATTATATTTCAGATACTATTAAAATTATTGCAGCAGGAGCTATATGGTATATTATCTTATGTATCATGAAGACTTTCATTAGTAGCCAAACAACCACCCTGTTAGTCACACAAATTAAAATATTTCTACGTACAAGTTGTCCAGTTTAACTGGCTCCCTTCTTTCCCTGATTTTATCTTTGAGCTGAAAAAAGAAATAGATCTCAAACTTTGTTTTATGCAGTTACATCGGTTTCTGAGTCTTCCAAACTTTTCGTATTTTGAATGGAACATGCTGCATATAATCTCAAATAAAGTCCTCTATAGTGGTTATTATCTCATCCAAGACGACAACGCTAACGTTTCGTTTCGTGAGAAAGTTATATCTGCACACAATTATTATTTATTCTATCACGTTTTAGGGTTGTTGTATAATGATAGCCACCGGCAGAAGCGCATCTACTCTACCTACAGCTATTGTTATTGCCTTATCAGTAGAATATTGAATAAAGATTGGAATGTATCAGAAAAATGTATATGTTCTATTACAGCTAGAAATTGGTCAAGAAATGACACATTATTAATTCCAATCCATCCAATATCTGAAGCATCAGATCATTTTCTAGCAAAACTACTTCTCAAAATTACCTACCAAAGCATATGCTTTATCTCTTACCTCCGTAAGTAGCCTGTTTTGCTGCTTCAACCTGTCCGCCATGTCCTGTTGCATAGGCAACGGAAAATGGTGCACCGCAAGGTTCATATGCAGGGGCAGTCCGCCGCGTTCCCAACTTTCGGTTAGCGCGGCCAAGTGTCTGTTCACTTCCAAAACGCGGGCACGTTGTAGCTCTATCCGTTCTTGTTGGGCTTCGGACCAGTGTTCCTATAATAATAATGACAATCGTGAAGATTTAGCATGCACAGTTGACGCTTGGTGACGCGGTGGTATGATCGGGGTCAGACGGCAAATAGTGCGCACTATAACTGTTTTGCGAATAACATAAATTACTGCAATTATTGAAAATTAAAATACGGCAATGGAAACTTTGAAAGTTGCATGATAACTCAGATATTAATATCAAAATATAATGCGGAATGTCATGTTAGTGCAATCCTACATCAACCTGGTTTTTGCATTTAATAGTGCGCACGGGGACGGCACAGGTGGTAATGCGCATCGTAATTTTTTGAAGTAAATTAAACTTGATGATTCACCAGCAAACTTCTTGTGCATAATAGAGTTTAAAAGTTATCACGGATGCTACCGATAAGTAAAGGGCGTCGAGTCAAATTTGGAGTGCACGCTATTTATAGAATTTGCATAAAAATATAATTAAGAAAAAAAAACAAATATGATCGATAGTTGTTGTCATGTTTGCCATGATTAATATTTCATTGAATACAAACTTGGTGAACAACACTAAAATACGTTAAATAACGTGCATTACTACAAGATATAGTATATGCTGGGCACTATTTGCGAAAGTGATATTCTCCACATTTATCGCTATTTGCAAATTAATTACGGCAACTGAGAATAAAAAAATTAGAAAGACCTGCACAAGTAACCGAAACAAGCTCATGGATAGTGCAAAAGGTTTTATTAATGGTAATTTGATGCAAAAAGTTAACCTGATGCTACTTCAACGAGCCAATAAAACAGCTAATTCAACTGTTTCAATATTCACGTGGATCTAAAATTTTTCATTAAGGTAAAATCCATCTAAATTGTTCAGATAAAATTCGAACTACAGATTTTGCTGGCAATAACACATTAACAGGGGCTTACAATTATATGCACAATAGTAGCTGCTGCGCACTGTTACCTCTGTTTTTTACTAAAAGTCTATATAACCTGAATTAAGTAGAGACTGTGAGATCAAACATTTTTTATTCAATACAAAATAACATAATTATTCTAATTTGAATCCGCGTCTTGCTTTTCGTTCAACAAATACTTCTATCGCAGAATCCAAATTGAGTGTATTAGCTACTGATCTGAATATATAGGTTAGAGAAGTTGTTGAGTGTGTCTTTAGCCAAAGAAGCTCGAAGGTATTCTTTAAAAATTTTCAAAGAGCTCATGACACGTTCAGCACTAGCTGAATCGATAGGCAAAGTCAAAAACAATCTGAAAATAATCATGACCTTCAAATAATCTAGCGGGCTGTCATTAGTAAAATTACGATGTTCCGAAAAATACATGCTCTTAAAACTGGCTAATTCATATTTTAGATCAGTAGTGAAAAATTCCTAATATTTTTCCATCAAATTAGTGACGCAGGTTTCTAATTCGTTTTGTTTTAGATTGTCTAATGTCTCTTGCATCAAAAAAACCAAACACATCATTCACTTCGCGAAATCCTTCAGTACGTTCTTGCAATTCGTTACTCATTGAATCCAAAACTTCGTAGTAATTTATTCGTTGTTTTTCGTGTGTTTACAGTGGCGAGTCAGCAGCTTTTTCATCGAACATTTTTTTTATTTTCCTCTTTTTGACAATGGGAAAACCAGGATTTTTCTATTCCATCTCTTCCCATTTATTCTTAGCCTTTAGAACAAAATTATCGTATGTGCTTTCGCTCCTCAAATCTTTTAATTTTTTTGATGCTACTGAAATGCACCTTTGAGCCATCATCAAGTCTATTTCTTTCTTTTGCATTTGAACTTGCACGACATTCATTACGCTCAATACTGAATGCCCCCATAACAAATTGAAAAAAAAGTCCAGTTCATGGAGGAATGGAGAGATCTTGCATTCATTATCTCTTCGCCAGAAGCTCCCACTCTTGAAATTTCATCTTCTATGCAAATGATAATACATTCCAAAATTTTTTTCCACAATATTATCACGAAGAAAATAGATGTCATTAAATAAAAAAATGCATAGTATTGTGAAAGCTTATCGTTATAAGCATTGTAGACGTGAAAAGACTGTAATAGACGCATTAGAGTCTTTATTAGACTAAAAGAGGCTGATTCATACCACGAAGATATTTATTTACTAAAAATTATATGCCAGGTAATAATATATCACTGTAAGCACAAAATGAAAAAATAACCCCTTCACTCATTAGTCATTTTTCAAAAAATTTCTTAAGAAATTAAAGGGAAATTTTCGTATTCAAACTGTATGCTAACGCGCTGTTTCATAAACATTACGCAGTCTGTGAACACCCCTCCTTGGGGGGCCCAGGCGGCAATGTCCATTTTGCCATTACTTAAATCCGCCACTGTGATGGACAAAACCACAAAAAAGTTGTTGCATTGGTAAGTATTAATATTAATCGATACACAGGAAGACAAAAAAGAAGAATTAATTTTGTTATTTAACAATAAATTGTTAATTTTTAAATTAGATTTAATATTTTAATCACTTTTAGGTTGCCATCCGCCCGCCAGGCAAGTTTTTAATTTTTATGTCAGAGGAACTGATGTCACCCTCCCAACATTTTGTGTTACTCCTAGTCTACGCCCTATAATACCTCTAATAATAGAAGAAAATACAATAATTCATGATAAAAAAAAAAGTATTACTGTCTGGTTTTCAGTACGAGACTTTGGTTCGATCAGTTGTATCAGTATTTTAATAGTGCGTATAATTCCATTTGTCTGATTATTTTGTGAGAAAAAATGGCCCAGGTTCACGAAAGCTGAACTAGTGGACATAATAACATACGGAGAATACTAACAAAATGCAGCCGTAGCATGCAGGTTGTATGCGGAAATGTTTCCTTTAAGAAATCATCCGGCCACACGGATGTTTGTAAATTTAGTTATTAGACTTCGTGACAGGATATGTAAAAGAACAACGAGGAGGTCACTCTGGAAGACCTGCTCAACCTGCAATGTTTCAAATTGAGGAAGACCTTTTATAAATGGTCGAAGACGTCCCAACAATGAGCACTAGACCCACAACAGCTCAAGTTGAAGTTTCGCATAGTAAAGTGTGGAAGACAATACGACAAGAACGGTATTGTCCTTATCATTATCAACGGGTTCAAGCGTTACAATCTGAAGATCATTCCAGAAGAGTTCCATTTTGCCAGTGGATTGTGGAACAGTTCGGCAGAAATGAAGGTGTTACGAAATTAATTTCGATACGGGGGAAAGTCACCACTGACTACCGCGGGAACAGGTGTGCATGCGTCATGCACATATTCTGGCCCTGCTTTAGAGAGGTTTACCTCCACGTTTGACAGTCCGAGACCGTCTATCGCACGCTATGTATATAAATTATAGTTGTAAAGGATTACATATTATCAGATAGAAATGTGTGAAAAAGTCTTTCAGATTTTCCAAAGCTACTTAACATTTTTTTAATACACGTAACTGTTTTTTTATGTTTAACTTCTGTGAATATTTACACGCCTATGAAACCGTTGTTTGGCTTTATATAAAAATACAATGAGTGTAATCTAAGCACGTTTTATGTCGAATGAAATGCTGCGGTGCGGTCAGGTAAAAGCTGTAATCGCTATGTAAAACAGTTGTACTGTGACATCAGCTGAATACTGAGTATAAATGTAAACCAGATTTCCCACCTGTTTGATGCCATGAACATTTTTTTTAGAATGTCTGAATACTGCTAAACACTGCCTACCCACAGATTCTATTAAATCAATCGGAAACTTTATGATCCAAATTTCCAAAGCGTCGTCATTTTTCGGAATGTATCAAATAACTGCATCCATGGAAATGGGATAACCTCTACCATTCAAGAAAGAATCGTGTCGTTCAGGTGACGCTTACAGCAAACTTTCTATTTTCCGCGGCATGCACGAGCAGTACGATTATTATTTTAATAATCTTCAACATAAACAGGTGTTGTTGGGCAATTATATACGCTCCAGACTAATTAATAACTGTTCATTTACACTCTAGACAGAACGGTGTTTTTTCCTCACACCGAACTATGTAGGCTCTTATGATACTGTTGAACCTTTTATTGTGCTGTAGATTTTCATTGATTATTCCGAAACTTCAAACAGATTTAATCGTATATGATATACTCATAATGATCGGCGTAACAGGCGAGTTCGTAGGCGTCCTAATCTGATCACGCAAACTGTCAAATGTGTATTAGTGTATTTGCTCCTATGACATATTATAACATTTCTTCCTAGGACATATTATAACATCACGTTTTCTGCTCAAATTCTCAAAAACAGTCAGTCATCTGTGAGACGTCTGGTAAGAACTATCTACATTCGTTTTTGGAGCTTCCGTTTGCTTAGGCGAGGGTCTATTTTAAGCGAGTCTATAATATCCGAGGATTTTACATGCAATTAAACTTGAGTGTAGTCACACATCTCACTTTTGCACGTCTTTTGTGACTGAGTTGTTCGCCAAAACTGGAACGAAACCATTGTCAATAGTTTAGCTCTGTAGGTTGTACTTGCTACGCATTTGCACCCATGGTGTCCTGAGCGTTGTGACTTTTCTTTTCCTTAATAAGAAAGCTAATGTGCGGTAAAACAGCAACGAAAACTTAAAAAGGAAATTGTAAAAAGTACTCACTAAATACGATTCATTCAATAAGAAATTTCAAGAACTACCGTGTCACGTATCACTCGTAAATACTGTTTGAAGTTCGATTCAAAAACGCACCATTTAGGATTAGTCTAGGTCTTCTACGGTCCGCACCTCGACAGTCTTTGCACATTGTAAACAAACCTACGTGGCTGGGAACATAAACATCTCAACACACTTGCGAAGTATCAAGGTCATCGTAAAGATACCATAAACTAACATCAAATCGGTAATTTTGTTATTGTTAAATGAATTTGCCAATTTAGTTGGTTTTTAATTCAGTTTCTCAGGTTTACCTACACACCGTGCAGCTGTTTCTATACTGACGCATTATATATCGTGCCTTTTCAT